TAAATTTTCTTCCCTCCTTTTCTTTTCTCCTCTTTCTTTTGTCTTTCCTTTCCCTCAATTACACCCTGCTATTTTTTTTACTTTATTATTTCTTCCTTTTTTCCTTCCTTCCTTTTCCACAAAGTATTTTTTGCTGGTCATGAGGGCTTTGTGTATCAAGTTTGGTCCAATTCCATCTTTGATGGAGTTCAGAGTACTCATTGATTGCAGGTGAACTATACATCTCCATACCTACAACTCCAAAATGTCCAGGCCAATTCCCCTCAACCCCAACCTCCTCATTGTTGACATTCTTTGGGCATATTGAGTATGCATGCCAAGTTTGGTCCGGATCCATCGTTGGTTGGGTTCATAGTACGCTCTGTATGTAGGTGAACTACAACTCCTATAAATCCCTCCAGTATGTTTTGTTGGTCATGGGGCTTCTGTGTGCCAAGTTAGTCCCAGGTCCATCATTGGTGGAGTTCAAAGTGCTCTTAGATTAAAGGTGAACTATACATCCCAGTGGCGCAGTGGGTTAAAGCACTGAGTTGCTGAGCTTGCTGATCGAAAGGTCGCAGGTTCGATTCCGGGGAGCGGCGTGAGCTTCCGCTGTCAGCCCTAGCTTCTGCCAACCTAGCAGTTCGAAAACATGCAAATGTGAGTAGATCAATAGGTACCGCTCCGGTGGGAAGGTAAGGGCGCTCCATGAAGTCATGCCGGCCACATGACCTTGGAGGTGTCTACGGACAACGCTGGCTCTTCGGCTTAGAAATGGAGATGAGCACCGCACCCCAGAGTCAGACATGACTGGACTTAATGTCAGGGGACTACCTTTACCTTTACCTATACATCCCAAAAATTACAACTCCTATAAATCATGGTGAATTCTCCCCAAACCTCTCTAGTAAGTTCAGTTGTTCATCAATTCCTCTGTTTGCTGTGTGTCATGGAAAAGAATAGGAAAGGGTTAAGGGAGAAGCAGTGGGCGGGGTCATGCAAATTCCACACCAATGGAGAGAGTCAGAAACACTGGGATGTCTGTGGTGGAGACAAAACAGAAAATCTAGGATGAAATTGTCCCCTTATGAAAGCTTTCACTTTGGTGGTGGGTAATATGGTGTTTGTGGAGGACATTGGCAGGGCTCTTGGACATCTTCATGGCGCTCACTCTAACCTGCAGTGTCATTGGATGGGAGGGCTATTGGTGTCCCCTGAGCAGTGGAAGCTAGAGCTGTTTCTGTCTGTAAGTGGACATTCCAGCCACATACATATTTTCACTTTTATTATGCGAATAGATATGTGTGTGTGTGTGTGTATGTATTCATTTAATTGCCCTTTGGGTTCCCGTCATGCCAGGACTCGCCCTCTGCTCTGCTTTTCATCCACCTTCCAACACAGATGCTCCATCTTTCGCAAGGATTTTTCTCCCTTCTTTTCCAAACAGAAGAATATATATATACTAGCTGTGCCCTGCCACGCGTTGCTGTGGCCTATAGTAAGAATTTTCGAAGTAGAGGTAGATATCTGAACTATTATGAAAGAGAGGTATGTACGTATTCCTTCCTCCTTTTTCTTCCCCTTCCCCTTTCTCTCCTTTCTTCCTTCCCTACCTCTTTCTTTCATTCCCTCTTTTGCTCTTTGGTTTCATCCTTTCTTCTCTCTTTCCTTCCTTCCCTCCCCCTTTCTCTACTTCTTCCTTTGTCTCCTTTCTTCCCTCCCTGTTTCCTTCCTTCTTTCACTTTTTATTTCCTTTTCCCCTTTCTTCTTTCTTAACTTCTTTCCTGCATTTCCCTCCATTTTTCTTTCCTTTCTTCTTTCTCTTTTTCTTTCCTTCAGTACCTCTTGCTTTCCTTCCTTCCCTCCTTCCTTCTTTCCCTCCCTCCTTCTCTCTTTCCTTCCTTCCCCTTTTCCCTCCTTCATTCCTTCCCTTTTTCCCTCCCTCCTTTCTTCTCTCCTTCCTGTCTGTTCTCCCCCGATACCATGGTAGAGTCCCTTCTAACTCTATGAGTCTATTTAATATAGTAATATATAGTAGTAACATTATATTATATAGTAGTATATATAACAATAATCCTGCAAGTAAGATCCAGATCCTGCAAGGAAGACTCCAGCAATACATGGAGCGAGAGTTGCCAGATGTTCAAGCTGGGTTTAGAAAAGGCAGAGGAACGAGAGACCAGATTGCCAATATCCGCTGGATAATGGAGAAAAGCAGGGAGTTTCAGAAAAACATCTGCTTCTGCTTCATTGACTATTCTAAAGCCTTTGACTGTGTGGATCATAATAAATTGTGGCAAGTTCTTGGAGGGATGGGCATCCCAAGCCACCTTGTCTCTCTCCTGAGGAATCTGTACAAGGACCAAGTAGCAACAGTCAGAACTGACCACGGAACAACAGACTGGTTCAAGATTGGGAAAGGCTGCATACTCTCACCCAACCTTTTTAACTTGTATGCAGAACACATCATGCGATGTGCGGGGCTTGATGAATGCAAAGCTGGGGTGAAAATTGCTGGAAGAAACATTAACAACCTCAGATATGCAGATGACACCACTCTGATGGCCGAAAGCGAGGAGGAGCTGAGGAGCCTTCTAATCAAGGTGAAAGAAGAAAGCGCAAAAGCCGGGTTGCAGCTAAACATCAAAAAAGCCAAGATTATGGCAACAAGAATGATTGACAACTGGAAAATAGAGGGAGAAAATGTGGAGGCCGTGACAGACTTTGTATTTCTAGGTGCAAAGATGACTGCAGATGCAGACTGTGGCCAGGAAATCAGAAGACACTTCCTTCTTGGGAGGAGAGCAATGTCCAATCTCGACAAAATAGTAAAGAGTAGAGACATCACACTGGCAGCCAAGATCCGCCTAGTCAAAGCCGTAGTATTCCCTGTAGTAACCTACGGATGTGAGAGCTGGACCTTAGGGAAGGCTGAGCGAAGGGAAGAGAGACTCTTTTGATCTGTGGTGCTGGAGGAAAGTTCTGAGAGTGCCTTGGACCGCAAGAAGATCCAACCAGTCCATCCTCCAGGAAATACTGCCTGGCTGCTCACTGAAGGGAAGGATATTAGAGGCAAAGATGAAGTACTTTGGCCACATCATGAGGAGACAGCAAAGCCTAGAGAAGACAATTATGCTGGGGAAAGTGGAAGGAAAAAGGAAGAGGGGCCGACCAAGGGCAAGATGGATGGATGGCATCCTTGAAGTGACTGGACTGACCTTGAAGGAGCTGGGGGTGGTGATGGCCGACAGGGAGCTCTGGCGTGGGCTGGTCCATGAGGTCACGAAGAGTCGGAGACGACTGAATGAATGAACAACAACAACAACATAACAATAATATGTATAATACAATATATATGTATTATATAGTAATATATATATAATAGTAATATATAAAGTATTGTAATTGTACACACATACACCCCAACCAGTGATCCAACATCCATCCATCCATGTGTGTGTGTGTGTGTGTGTGTGTACATGTACGTGTGTGCGTGTACGTGTGTGCATGTGTCTACACTGCTATATAATCCAGTCCTAAGTAGATAATCTGGATTTTACATGGCAGTGTGGAAGGGGTGACTTTGGGTGCATCTAAACCAGTGTTTCTCAACCTGGGGGTCGGGACCCCTGAGGGGGTCACAAGAGGGTGTCAGAGGGGTCACCAAGGACCATCACAAAACACAGTATTTCCTGTTGGTCATGGAGATTCTGTGTGGGAAGTTTGTCCCAATTCTATCGTTGGTGGGGTTCAGAATGTTCTTTAATTATAGGTGAACTATAAATCCCAGCAACCACAACTCCAAATGATAAGATCTATTTTCCCCCAAACTCCACCAGTGTTCACATTTGGGCATATTGAGTATCTGTGCCAAATTTGGTCCAAATCAATCATTGTTTGAGTCCTTGATTTAAGCGAACTACAACTCCAAAACTAAAGGTCAATGCCAAACCCTTCCAGTAATTTTCTGTTGGTCATGGGATTTCTGTGTGCCAAGTTTGGTTCAATTCCATCCTTAGTGGAGTTCAGAATGCTCTTTGATTGTAGGTGAACTATAAATCCCAGTAACTACAACTCCCAAATGACAAAATCAATCCCCCCAACCCCATCAGTATTCAAATATGGGCATATCGGATATTTGTGCCAAATTTGATCCAGTAAATGAAAATACATCCTGCATATCAGATATTTACATTATGATTCATAACAAGTAGCAAAATTACAGTTATGAAGGAGCAATGGAAATAATGTTATGGTTGGGGGGTCACCACAACATGAGGAACTGTATTAAGGGGTCGCGGCATTCGGAAGGTTGAGAAACACTGATATAAACTGTAGATTTAATAAAGGAGCATGAAGCTGGTGAGGGGAGGAGGAAAAGGAAGGAAAGAAAGGGAGGAGGGAGGGAGAAAAGGAAAGGAAGGGAGGAAGGAGGGAAGGGAGGGAGGGGAAGAAGAAAGGAAGGAGAAGGAAGGGAAGTAGAGAAAGGGAGGAAGGGAAGGAAGGAGGGGGTTGGACTGGATGGCCTTTAGGGCTCCCTTCCAACTGGTTGGCCATCTGTTGTGAGGGCTTTGATGGTGTCTTCCTTTACTGCCAAATGAGGTTGGGCTGGATGATCCTTGGGGTGTGTTGTCGTCTTCCTTTTTGGAATTTAAAGGTGTTTTGTGGGGTTTTTTTCAGTGATAATCACTCCTTGGATTGTGAGGAGTTTTATTGCCAAATTTGGGGTCATTTGGCCCCGCAGTTTTTTTGTTTTTAAGCCACTCATTATGCACAGAGCATTTATATATATATATATAGATTCTGGTCCCTGGGCAACTTAAATGTCGACGTATGGGTGGTGCTTAATTGTGCAAATGGATGGCGGTCATCCTCATTCTGAGCTGCTGCTGCTGCCAGACCCACTTTTGGAAAGAAACCAGGGCATTAGATCCGGAAAGAGGCGAACGAAGGGAAGCAATGCACTTATTGGGGCGCGGAGAGAGGCTCTTTGCTCACGCGTCGCTTTTATCTCTCCGCAGATAAACTCTTTGGGAAGCGGCTGCTCCAGGCCGGGCGCTACATCATGTCCCACAAATCCTGGATGAAAACGGTGCCCACGGAAAACTGTGACGTGCTGATGACGCTGCCAGGTGTGTGCTGCTGTGGCAAAAAAGCCCAATGCGATTCTACAGCTGTGTCATTTAGAATCTAGATTGAGGTCCCAAGGTATTTTGCTTGGAAGTCGTAGCCCTGATTTATTCTGCTTTTTGGTCATTTTGGAATGAAACTGGGTCCAGTTTTGACCCCAATGCAGGTTACATTATTATTATTATTATTATTATTATTATTATTATTATTATTATTTCTTATGCACCTCTCATGGCAAGTTACAATATACATAACAGCGTGGCAGACATTCGCATTAAGTCCAAATGCCTGGGATTTATCTCTGAATATCTGGCTCTTCCTAAGGACTATTATTATTTCTTATCCTCCTCTCAAGGCAGGTTACAGTATTACTACTACTACTACTACTACTACTACTATTGTTATTATTAGGGCCCCCTAGTGACGCTATGAGGATAAGGAGCCCCCGGTGGCGCAGTGGGTTAAAGCACTGAGCTGCTGAGCTTGTTGATCGAAAGATCGCAGGTTCGATTCCGGGGAGCGGCGTGAGCTTCCGCTGTCAGCCCTAGCTTCTGCCAACCTAGCATTTCGAAAACATGCAAATGTGAGTAGATCAATAGGTACCGCTCCGGCGGGAAGGTAAGGGCGCTCCATGCAGTCATGCCGGCCACATGACCTTGGAGGTGTCTACGGACAACGCTGGCCCTTCGGCTTAGAAATGGAGATGAGCACCACACCCCAGAGTCAGACATGACTGGACTTAGTGTCAGGGGACTACCTTTACCTTTACCTATGCACCCCTCAAGGCAGGTTACAACATATACAACAGCACGGCAGACATTCGCATTAAGTCCAAATGCCTGGGATTTATCTCTGAATATCTGGCTCTTCCCAAGGACTATTATTATTTCTTATCCTCCTGTCAAGGCAGGTTACAGTATTACTACTACTACTACTACTATTGTTATTATTAGGGCCCCCTAGTGATGCAGCGGGTTAAACCGCTGAGCTGCTGAACTTGCTGACCAAAAGGTTGGCAGTTTGAATCTGGGGAATGGGGTGAGCTTCCGCTGTTAGCCCCAGCTTCTGCCAACCTAGCAGTTCAAAAACACACAAATGTGAGTAGATGAATAGGTACCACTCTGGCAGGAAGGTAACGGCGCTCCATGCAGTCATGCTGGTCACATGACCTTGGAGGTGTCTATGGACAACGCCGGCTCTTTGGCTTAGAAATGGAGATGAGCACCAACCCTCCCAGTCGGACATGACTAGACTTAATGTCAGGGGAAACCTTTACCTATTATTATTATTATTATTATTATTATTATTATTATTATTATTAGAAACACAACAAGATACACAGCAAAGAGGATCACTTTGCTGGCTGTTGTATTGGATCACGTTGGACACTTCCTAAGTGACTAGGACTGTGTGATATGTCAGCGAATAGGGTGGCCTTTTGCAGCTGACAGATGGTAATTTTGTCAGCGCCGATTGTGTTTAAGTGCAGGCCAAGGTCTTTAGGCACTGCACCCAGTGTGCCAATCACCACTGGGACCACCTTGACTGGTTTGTGCCAGAGTCTTTGCAGTTCGATCTTTAAATCCTCATATTGTGACATCTTGTTTCTCTTCAATCCTGCTGTCGCCTGGGATTGCAATTATTATTATTATTATTTTTATTTTTATTATTATTATTATTATTATTTCTTATCCATCTCTCAAGGCAGGTTACTTTATTTATTTATTTACAGTATTTATATTTCATCCTTCTTACCCCGAAGGGAACTCAGGGCAGATCACAGAACATTCAATGCCGTTATACACTGACAAGACAGGCAACTGTATATAGAGGTATATATAGGCTTTCCCATCTTCGGCATCTTGGAGGCTTGTGCCACGGGGGAGTGGGGGGCTGCTGTCGCTCCATCTTCTGGCATTTTTCTGGCATTTCTTTATAGGTTCCTTAAATACCTCCCTGCTTTAAAGCGGCGTCTATTTATCTACTTTTGCTTTCGAACTGCTAGGTGGGCAGAAGCTGGACTAAAGGTCATGAGCTCACCCCAACCTGGGTTTCAAACTTGTCAACCTTTCGATTGGCAAGATTTGCTACAGCTGGAGTTAACCAGCTATGCTAAAGGCCAGCCCAATTATTATTTTTATTATTATTTCTTTTCCACTTACCAGGTCTGGTTACATTGTTGTTGTTATGATTTATTTATTTTTATTATGATTTCTTAACCAAGCTGAGCTTGAGCCAATACTGTGATGCAGCAGCAGAAAAGGCCAATGTGATTCTAGCCTGCATCTGTAGAAGTTTAGATCAAGGGAAGTCAAGGCATTACCTTTGTCCTAGTCTATTCTGATCTCACCTGTAATATTATGTCCAAAATCCATGGGTTTTGACCTACTGAATTGTGTTTGAGCCTGAAGACTATAGAGCAGATTAGGAAGCTGAGGATGTTGAGCTTTGGAGATGAGAAGAGGGGAAAAGATTGAAGATGAAGAAACAGTGGAGAGGTGGATCCAAATGGCAGAGGGTTGGACTAGATGACCTTTAGGGTCCTTTCCCACTCTTTAAGGTGCCATTATCAAAAGGTAGAGGATGAACGCCATGTAAACGGGTGGGAAAGAGTCACTTTCTCGGCTGCTTCTCTCTCCCCACCAGACACAACGGATGACCACACGCTGCTATGGCTGCTCAACCACATCCGCCTGGGCATCCCCGAGCTCATCATCCAGATCCGGCACCACAAGCACACGCGGGTCTACGCCTTCTTCGTCACGGCTACGTACGAGAGGTAAAAAAGTCCCAGCTTCTCTCTCCTCTGCCTCCTTTGGTCCTCGGCTTCCTTCCACAGCTGCAAACAGCTGTGCTTTACTATTTCCATTCCAATTGAATCTTCAAGTGAATCAAATGGGGATGAGCCATTTATGAGGGGCGTTGAACCCCTTTATATTCCGTATTTCCATTCCAATTGAATCTTGGAGTGAATCAGATGGGGATGAGCCATTTATGAGGGGCGTTGAACCCCTTTATATTCCGTATTTCCATTCCAATTGAATCTTTGAGTGAATCAAATGGGGATGAGCCATTTATGAGGGGTGTTGAACCCCTTTATATTCCGTATTTCCATTCCAGTTGGATCTTGGAGTGAATCAAATGGGGATGAGCCTTTTATGGGAAGCGTTGAACCCTCCTATATTCCAATCGAATCTCTGAGCATTTCAAATGGGGATGTGCCTTTTTTGGGGGAGATTTGCTCCTCTGATTTCCAGTCTTGACTCCCCAGTTTGCTCCGAGGGGCCGACGAGATCGGTCTGCGGAAGCCGGTGAAGCCCGAATTCGGGGGAGGCATGCGTAGCTTCTCGTGCGAGGAGGATTACATCTACGAGAATATTGAGAACGAGCTGTATTTTTTCACTTCTCAGGTGAGAACGCTGTCCTTTTTCCCCTACGGGTTAACCTTTTTCCCCGCAGAATTATGCAACTTGTTATGGTGGCTAAAAAGTCGTTGTGGATCACTCTCCCGCCTGCACTCTGCATCTATGTCTTCGTTTTATCGTTTTGTTTGTTCCATGCAAACCCTGGCATATGTGCCATAGGTTGAGTATCCCTTGGCTGAAAAGGTTTAGGGCCAGAAGCTTCTTGTTCATTTGTGTTTTAATCTGAGTGTTTTAAAGGGTTTTAGGTTTTTACCTATTGTGTTTGAATTATGTTGTAATTCTCAAAGAGAGGTGAATAAGAAATAACAACAGCAACCATAATTTACCTCTCATGGCTGAAAGCAGGCTGCATAATTATTTCCTATCCACCTGTCAAGGAAGGTTATATTACTATTATTATTATTAATATTATTATTATTTTATCCACCTCTCAAGACTCAAGGCAGGTTACATTATTATTATTGTTGTTGTTGTTATTATTATTTCTTATGCACCTCTCAAGGTAGGTTACAATAGTATTGTTGTTGTTATTATTATTATTATTATTATTATTATTATTATTATTATTATTATTATTTGAAACACAAGATGAGTCCATAACAGACAAGATCACTCTGCTGGCTGTTGTATTTGATCACATGTCGGACACTTCCCAAGTGTCTAGGACTGTGTGATGTATCAGCAAATAATGCGTGCAGATCCCAGTAAGATGGCCTTCTGCAGCTGGCAGATGGTAATTTTGTCAGCGCCGATTGTGTTTAAGTGAGCCCAAGGTCTTTAGGCACTGCACCCAGTGTGCCGATCACCACTGGGACCACCTTTTACTGGCTTGTGCTGGAGTCTTGTATTATTATTATTATTATTATTATTTTCTTATCCTCCTCTCAAAGCTCAAGGCAAGTTATATTATTATTGTTGTTGTTGTTGTTATTTCTTATTTACCTGTTAATTCAGATTATAATAATGGTTGTTATTATTATTATTTTCTTATCTATCCCTCAAGACTCAAGGCAGGTTACATCATTATTATTATTATTATTATTATTATTATTATTATTATTATTATTATTATTATTTCTTATGAGCCTCTCAAGGCTCTGCAGGTTACATTGTTGTTGTTGTTATTATTATTATTATTATTATTATTATTATTAGTAGTAGTAGTAGTAGTACTATTATATCTTATCCATTTCTCAAGGCAGGTTAAAAAGCAAGAAGTAAAAGGGGGAAAGAAAGGAAAGGGAGAAGAAAGGGAGGGAGGAAGAGAAAGAAAAGGAGAAATGGTGTGAGGGGAGGGATAGAGAAAGAAGGGATGAAAGCAGGAAGACAACACTCCCCCTCCATACCCAGCCAACACCATATAGGTATATATACACACCCTAATTAATAATAATAATAATAATATAAAATGTAATTGTTATTTTGGTCTCAGCCCTGATCGTAAGAAGAGCTATCCAACAGTGGAACTCTCTGCCTCGGAGTCCAGTGGAAGCACCTTATTTGGAGGCTTTAAAACAGAGGCTGGATGGCCATCTGTTGGGAGGGATTGGATTGTGCTTTTCCTACATAATGGCAGAAGGGGGTTGGACTAGATGGCCCATGTGGTCTCTTCCCCCGCTTCTGTGATTCTAATCCATCATGCTGCCAGCCAGCGAACTGCATTTCTTACTGTGCCATTGTCAGTTGTAAGCTGTTCACTGTTCTTTCTTGTGCAGGAACGCCAGAATATTATCAGGTATTGGCTGGAGAACCTGCGAGCCAAACAAGGGGAGAGCCTGCACAATCTCCATTTCTTGGAAGGGCAGCCCATCAGTGAGTAGGGATCGGGGCCTGCGGGGTAGAGGGTGGCGAAATCCCATTGGCGCCGGTTTGGATCCAGTTTCACTTTGGTTTTTTTTTTTCTTTAATCAAATCCACCAGTGTAAGTCATCTAGTGCATTTTCGACCTCTAGAATAGCCTGATCCACCAACGTAAGCTATGGGACTCAGTAAAGTTAGGACCTCCATATCTGTAGCACACAGTTGCCCACCCTGACATTGAAATCACCGACCAGAATGATTTCTATAAGAGGAAAATTGTTTTCTAAATCTTCAGTGTAGGCGATAAAATTTCCCCAAGTTTTTAACTCTTTTGAGTTAGGCCTGTAGGGAGTACTCTCGGAAGTCACCTACAGAGACCTACACAGGAGCAACTCTGCAGTTTGTCCTCCCTCTCAGGAGTCCCGTGACTCTGCTACTCTACAGAGTGAGGCCTACACAGGAGCGGCTCTGCAGTGTGTACTCTCCCTGTGGAGTCACGTGACTGCGCTACTCAACAGAGTGTCTGAGGCTTACATAAAAGTGGCTCTGCAGTTTGCAGGCCTAAAGGCTTCACTAATTTGCACAAAATGGCGTCCCTTTTGTTGTTTCCTGACTCTTTCCCCTCTTTTTCTTCTCCTCAGTCCCTGAACTGGCTGCTCGCGGCATCCTCCAGCAAGTCTTCCCCGTCCATGAGCAACGGATCCTCAACCGGCTGATGAAGTCGTGGGTACAAGCCATTTGCGAACCCCAGCCTTTGGGTGAGTCAGTGGCCATTCCCAACAGCTGGGGATTCCGGGAGCCATAGTCTGGAAACGGTGCATTTACACATCTCTAGCTCAGGCAGGGGCCAACTTTAGCCCTCCACGTGTTTTGAATTTGTAAATCCCACAATTCCTAACAGCCTACTGGTTGTTGAAGTCCAAAACACCTAGAGGGCCAAAGTTGGCCCCTGCCTACGTCTAGCCGTATTGGTATCTTTTTAAGGGGGATAATGAGGGATAGAAGAAGAAATTACTGTATATACTCGAATATAAGCCCCTTTTTTAGTTTGAAAAAGCTCCCCTCGGCTTATACTCGAGTCAAAGTTATTTATTATTTTGCTCTGTAATTAGTATTATTTTTATTACATTTATTATTTTACTTTATTATCGGTATTATTACATTTACATTAATTTACTCTATTATTTTATTACATTTATTTTACTGTATTTATTATTATTATTACATTTATTATTTTACTTTATTATTGTAGTTGTTATTACATTTATTATTTTACTTTATTATCGGTATTATTGCATTTACATTATTTGACTATTATTATTTTATTACATTTATTTTACTGCATTTATTATTATTATTATTACATTTATTATTTTACTTTATTATTGTAGTTATTATTACATTTATTATTTGACTATTGGTATTATTACATTTACATTATTTGACTCTATTATTATTTTATTACATTTATTTTACTGTATTTATTATTATTACATTTATTATTTTACTCTATTATTATTTTATTACATTTACTCTTATTATTATTACTACATTTATTATTTTACTTTATTATTGTTGTTATTATTACATTTGTCATTTTACTCTATTATTATTGGAAGGATACGTAAGCCAATTTACACCGAAAAAGGTTAGAATGATGGTTTAATCAAAGTTGGTCAGGCTTATTTTAAATTACGGTTTTATGTAAACACTGGAAAACATTTAACCTACTGTTTCCTCAATTAATGTGATTGTATTGGTATCTATTTTTATTTTTGAAATTTACCAGTAGCTGCTGCGTTTCCCACCCTCGGCTTATACTCGAGTCAATAAGTTTTCCTAGTTTTTATGTGGTAAAATTAGGTGCCTCGGCTTATATTCGGGTCGGCTTATACTCGAGTATATACGGTATTATTATTATTATTATTGAAGGATTTCTGATGCATAAGATGTCTTTCCTTTTCCCTCCTCTATTGCAGATGAAATCTGTGACTACTTTGGCGTGAAGATTGCCATGTACTTTGCCTGGCTTGGCTTCTACACGTCTGCCATGATCTACCCGGCCGTCTTCGGCTCCCTCCTCTATGCCTTCACCGAGAACGATCAGGTGTGAGAGAGAAAACGGCAAATACATACAATAAAAATAACAATCCATCCATAACAATCTATCAACAGATGATGGAGGCTCCTTTTATGGAGGCTTTTAAACAGGCTGGATGGCCATCTGTCGGGGGTGCTTTGAATGCGATTTTCCTGCTTCTTGGCCCATAAGGTCTATTCAAACTCAAAAGATGCTGAGATTCTATGAAAAGTTTGTATAAATGTTTGTCTGTTTGTTCCACAAAGTCTGTTGATAGGTGAAGTGGTCTTCTGGTGTTAGGCGAGGTGGCTCTATGTTGCTAGGTGGAGTGGCCCTCTGATGTTTGGTGAGGTGGCCCTATGTTGCTAGGCAAAGTGGCCCTCTGGTGCTAGGTGAAGAGACCCTCTTTCGCTAGGTGAAGTGGCAGAATACTCCCCCCCCCCCCAATTAGTGCAGGAAGTGGCTCTCTTCTACTGTTTTTGTCCACTTTGAATGTTGTTAAGTACGTTTTCTACTTCTTAATGCCAATACCCATTAGAACAAAGAGAGGACAAAAACGAGCTCTTCACGGTGGTTTAATTCTCTGGGCTTTTTTACGCTTGACATGCCTCTTTGCCGGCGGGCTTTTCGTCTTGTTAACTCAAGATACAGTCAAAACGTTTTGTTCCGTCACCATAATACCTTCCCAATTACAACATTATTACATAAAGCAATGCCTTGGAAAGACCAAAGAATCAGGGAGTCCTGAATTTCCACTTTTGGGGTTTAAAAACGTTATAGCTTCTCCTTTTTTTAAAGAAAGAAGTTCAGGAAAAGGCATGAATTCTGCACCCATGGCTTGCAAACACCCCATGGATTGGATCCTGCAGATCTCCCACTCAGGTTCCCATGGCTCAGTTTTTTCGGCCTGTTTTGCATTATGAATATGTATTTAAATGATTGTGCTGCATTACAGAAATGTAGAAGAGTTGGTTTGGTGGCTTTCCCAAATTGTTTAGGGCTTGATAACTGGACAAAGAGCAGTGGGTTCCACTGTCAGGGAAAGAGGTTCCACCCAAACTTTAGGAAAAACATCCTGATAGATAGAGTAGTTTCCTTCCCAGAATAAGGAAACTCCCAGCAATATGTCTCTAAATGCACTTTATTAGTGATCTAGGATTGTCTGCACGCCCCATCCCTCTCCGAAAACTCTATCCTAGTCATATCTCACCTGTTCATGCTCAGCATTATTTTTAAATTTTTAATTATTACATTTGGCCCAGCCACAGATTTTTAAACATCGTTGTGTTACTGTTAATGTTTATTGCTTATCTTCTGTTGTGAGTTTTATTTTATTGTTTTGTATTACTGTTGCTATTGCTTTTATTACTGATGTATTGTGGGCTCGGCCTCATGTCAGCCGCACCGAGTCCCTTGGGGAGATGGTAGCGGGGTATAAATAAAGTTTTATTATTATTATTATTATTATTATTATTACTAGCTGTCCCCTGCCACCCGTTGCTGTGACCCACATGGGGTTCTGTCTGGGAGGTTTGGCCCAATTCTATCGTTGGCGGGGTTCAGAATGCTCTGTGATTGTAGGTGAACTATACATCCCAGGAACTACAACTCCCAAATGTCAAGGTTCTATTTTCCCCCAAATCCACCAGTGTTCACATTTGGGTATATCGAGTATTCGTGTAGAATTTGGTCCAGATCCATCATTGTTTGAGTCCACAGCGATCTCTGGATGTAGGTGAACTACAACTCCAAAGCCAAAGGACACTCCCCTCCAAACCCTTTCAGTATTTTCTGTTGGTTATGGGAGAACTATATGCCAATTTGGCCCCATTCTATCATTGGTGGGGTTCAAAATGCTCTTTGATTGTAGGTGAACTATAAATCCCAGCAACTACAACTCCCAAATGACAAAATCTATTTTTTTTTTTTTGAGTGAAGGACATACATTGGGTTGTTAGGTGTCTTGTGTCCAAATTTGGTGTCAATTCGTCCAGTGGTTTTTGAGTTCTGTGAATATCACAAACGAACATTATATTTTTATTTATATAGATTATTATTATTATTATTATTATTATTATTATTATTATTATTATTATATCTCCTCTGGAGGTTTTGAAGCAGAGGCTGGATGGCTATCTGTCGGGAGGACTTTGATGGTGTCTTCCATAGCAGAATAAGCTTGGACTGAATGGCCCTTGGGGTCTCTTCCAACACTAAGATTCTACAGGCCTATTTCTCCATGAAACTTCAAATGTCTATAAAACAGAGTGACCCTCTGTTAGGAGTGATTGGATGGTGCTGTGGTAGAATGGCGTTGGATTGGATGGCCCTTGGGGATCTCTTTGAATTCTGGGATGCTATAGAATTGGGAGCCCCCCCCCCAAAGGTCATCCAACCCAACCCGCTCCCCTCAAGTAGAGGTGGATTATTTCCCTTGGATATCATGTAACTCTTGATCTCCCACACTGCTGCGCAGACCAGCCGAGACATCTCCTGCGTGGTCTTTGCCCTCTTCAATGTCGTCTGGTCCACGCTGTTCCTGGAGGAGTGGAAGCGCCGGGGGGCTGAGTTTGCCTACAAGTGGGGGACGCTGGACACTCCGGCAGAGTCCATCGAGGAACCGAGGCCGCAGTTTCGGGTCAGTGGGGCTGGCCATCTGTTGGGAGTGTTTGGGTGGCTCTTGGAGGTTCTTTCCAATGTGGTGATTCTATGGCCACCTGAGCCCCCCCTTCCCCCATTTTGTCCTCCGCAGGGCGTGAAGCGGGTCAGCCCGGTAACCAACGCGGAGGAGCTTTACTACCCACCGTGGAAGCGCATGGCCTTCCAGTGCCTGGTGAGCCTCCCCATCTGCGCCGTCTGCCTCTCCTTCGTTTTCCTCGCCATGCTGGGCTGCTTCGAGCTGCAGGTGAGCTGCAGGGGTCTCTCTGCTGCGGGGGTTTTTAGGCCAGGGGTCCTCCAAACAACGGCCTGCATTTTGGAAAGGCATAACGTTTTAGAGGTCATAACCTTTTGGAAAACCAGATAATCCATAACCTTTTGGAGAAAAATGGCATTCACAACCATTTGAAAATCATAAACTTTTGTAAAAGTATAGCCATGTTCCAGGAGCATTCTCTCCTGGCGTTTCGCCTGCCTCTGTGGCTGGCATCCTCAGAGGTTTTGTTGGAAGTGAGGCCAGTGGAGTGTATGTATATATTACTGTGGAATGTCCAGGGCAGGCCCGTAGCCAGGATTTCGTTGGGGGGGGGGGGGGGCTAAAAAAATTCAGGGGGGGGTTCGGGGGGGCTGAGTTTCGGGGGGGCTGAGTCTGAGTGAAAGAGGGTCTAGCCTAGCAAACCTTTTGTATCATTACCCCAATACCCCCATGCATATGGGATATATTGAGTATGGTGATCAGATCATGATATGAATAAACATAACAGTTTAAATAATGCATTAGTAAGGCCTTTTCGCGAACCACCATGAGAATTGGGGGGGGGGGCTGAAGCCCTCAGCCCCCCCCCCCCCCCCCATGCCTGGTCCAGGGTGAAAGAAAGAACTCTTGTCTGCTTGAATGAATGTCACAATTGGCCACTTTGATTAGCATTGAATGTCCTTGCAGCTTCAAAGCCTGGCTGCTTCCTGCCTGGGGGAATACTTTGTTGGGAGGTGTCAGCTGGCCCTGATTGCGTCTTCTCTGGAATTCCCCTGTTTTCTGAGTGTTGCTCTTTCTTTACAGTCCTGATTTTAGAGTTTTTTTAAATACCGGTAGCCAGAATTTGTTCATTTCCATGGTTTCCTCCTTTTCTGTTGAAATTGTCCACATGTTTGTGGATTTCACTTGCTTCTCTGTGTAGTTTGACATGGTGATTGTTAGAGTGGTCCAGCATTTACTGTGCTGTGTCCAGGCTGGTTCATCAAGTGATCTGCTATAGCTGACTTCTCTGGTTGAGTTAATCTGCAGTGGTTTTCATGTTCCTTGATTCATGCCTGGGCAATGCTGCTGCGTTTGGCGGTCCCTATGTTGACTTGTCCACAGCTGCATGGTACACGGTAGACTCCTGCAGAGATGAGAGGATCCCTCTTGTCCTTTGCTGAACGGAGCATTTATCAGATTTTCTTGGTGGTCTGTAGATAGACTTTAGGTTGTGTTTCTTCATCGGCTTCCCTATGCAGTCAGTGGTTCCCTTGATGTATGGTAAGAACACTTTTCCTCTGAGTGGAGCTTTGTCTTGACTCTCATGGCTTTTTTTAGGCTGAAAAAACACCCCTCGGCTTATACTCAAGTCAAGGCTATTTATTATTTTACTCTGTAAATATTATTTTTATTAAATTTATTATTTTCCTCTTATTTATTATTATTATTTTTACATTTACATTCTTTTCCTCTATTATTTTATTACATATATTATTTTACTCTATTTGTTATTATTATTACATTCATTATTTTACACTATTATTATTATTAATACATGTATGATTTTATTTGCACCAGTCTGCCCACCCATGCCCAGAAACTGATTATATTTTAGGTCCATTGGCTGTTAGTTCAGTGGTTGCTTTTATATTCTGTTATAATGTTGTTGTTTTATTGTTTAATGCTGTTGTTTATGTATTTTAGTGTTTTATATTTTAACTATGTTGATCGAGCTTGTCCTCATGTTAGCCGCCCTGAGTCCCTTTGAGAGATGGAGCCAGGGTACAAAAATAAAATAATAATAATAATAATTTACTCTATTATTATTGCTATTGTTACATTTACATTATTTTACTCTTTTTTAACATTTATTATTTTATTATATGATTGTTACATTTATTATTATTATCATTACATTTATTATTTTACTCTGTTATTATTATTATTACATTTATTATTTTGCTCTATTATTATTGGAAGGATATATATGCTTTTATTGCTTTTGTGATGTCTTATACTGTTTAATGCTTTTTATCTATTATGTTTTATGTATACTGATTTGTTGGAAACCGCCTTGAGTCGCCAATTGGCTGAGAAAGGCGGTATACAAATACAGCAAATAAATAAATAAATAGATAAATAATGTAAGCACATTTAATTGAAAAAAGTTAAGATAATGGTTTAATCAGAGTTGGACAGTCTTTTTTAAATAACAGTTTTATGCAAATATTCAGAAAAATTTAAGCTACTGATGCCTCAAATAATGTAATTTTATGGGTATCTATTTTATTTTGAAATTTACCTGTAGCTGCTGCATTTCCCACCCTCAGCTTATACCCGAATCAATACGTTTTGGGGGGGGAAAATTAGGTGCCTCGGCTTATGTTTGGGTTGACTTATACTCAAGTATATACGGTATTTAATTATGTTTCTATGCTTTTAGATTTTTAGATTTTGAATTGTATTGAAATGCTTTTAATGTACACCATTTGTGGAGAGGAAAAGAGTATAAGGCCGACCGGACTCTGTACCCGACTGTTTCCATCAGTGCCTTGAGGCCGTTACTGGATGGCTGCGTGCCAGCAGGTTGAGGGTGAATCCAGCAAAGACAGAGATCCTATGGCTGGGTCAACCAGGCAGTGGGGATATCCAGCTGCCTACCCTGGATGGCGAGGCGCTACGCCCGTCATCGTTGGTAAAGAGTCTGGGAGTCCTTTTGGACCCTCTGCTGACAATGGAGGCCCAGGTCTCCGCCGTTAGCAGAACCGCCTTCTTTCATCTGCGGCAGGCTAGACGGCTGGCCCCCTACCTCCAGGGACGACCTAGCTACGGTGATCCAGGCCACGGTCATCTCAAGACTGGACTACTGTAACGCCCTCTACATTGGCCTCCCTCTGTCGGTGATTCGGAAGCTCAAGTTGGTACAAAACGCAGCTGCTCGGCTTCTTGCGGGAATTCCGATGAGATGCCACATAACACCAATCCTACTACAGCTGCATTGGTTACCAATTGAGCACCGGATCACTTTCAAAGTGATGGTACTCACCTTTAAGGCCTTGCATGGTCTGGGGCCAATGTATCTGAGGGATCGTCTCACCCCCTACCAACCCCAGAGATCCCTCCGTTCTGAGGACCAAGATCTATTGGAAGTCCCCAGTGTCAAGACCTTGCGTCTAACGGCAACCAGACGCAGAGCCTTCACAGCAGTGGCGCCATCAGTCTGGAATGCTCTGCCACCTGAAGTTCGTTCCCTGCGGGACTTACCAGCTTTCCGCAGGGCATGTAAGACATACCTGTTCCGACAGGCTTTTAATGTTTGATACTGTTGTTTTTAAATTGTTTTAAATTGCTTTTAAACTTTGTTAGATTTTAGCTATTCTTGTAAGCCGCTCCGAGCCCCAGGGGAGTGGCGGCATATAAGTTTAAATAATAAATAAATGAACATAATAATAATAATAATAATAATAATAATAATAATAATAATAGTAATAATAATAATAATAATCCTCTTCTTGCTCCTGAACCCTCCTTTCCTCTCCTTTCCTTTCCTCTTTCTATCTCTCCAAAACAGAGGGATCCCCTACATCCTCATCTGACCCCTTAACCCTTCTCTTCTCTCCTTTCCTTTTCTCTATCTTCAAAACGGAGGGATTATTTGCATTCTCTTCTTGCTCCTTCACTATACTTTCCTGGATTTGTGTATCGTTTCCTCTCTGTGTATATATACCTCCTTCTCTTTTCTTTCCGGCCAGGAATTTGTGCTGAGCATCAAGGAGCTGCCCCGCATTGTCCGTTTCCTGCCCAAAATTGCGCTCGCCGTCATTGTTACGGCCTGCGACGAGGTCTACAAGAAGATTGCCTACTGGCTGAACGACATGGGTGTGTATCACGCCAAGACCTCAAAATAGGATGAAGGAAACTGGGCTTTGTGATAGGACTCACAAAACAGGGCCTTGGGGGTTGTATCTGTGAACAGCCAAATGCAATTTTAGCCTGCCTTCATCAAAGCGGGTTCGGAACGTTTGAGAGGGATGGGAAACATACAACCAAACAAACTTTGTGGATGACAGCTTCCATCATCCTCAGCCAATATAGTGGTGGCCAAGCCCTTTCATCTTCACATCCTATGTCTGGGTTTTCTAGAGCCTTCTGGTTGGCTGGACCTTCCCAAGGCCTTGTTGGACTCCAGTTCTCATCATCCCCAGGGAAGTTGCTGTTCAGCCATATCTGGAGACTGGGATCTCCAATCTATTCAATGGCCAAATGAAATGTGTGTGTGTGGATACTGGTGATGCTGGCTGGATGATGGGAGTTGTAGTCTCCTTCATCATGTTTTTTCCCCTCCTCTTTTTTGCAGAAAATTACCGGTTGCAGAGTGCCTACGAAAAAAACCTCATCATTAAAATGGTCTTGGTAAGTCTCTCCAAAGAAAACAACAACAATGGGTTGCTGTGAGTTTTCTGGGTTGTATGGCCATGTTCCAGAAGCATTCTCTCTTAATGTTTTGCCCACATCTATGGCAAGCATCCTTAGAGGTTGTGAGGTCTGTTGCAAACTAGGCAAGTGGGGTTTGGGTTGTTGTAGGTTTTTTTTGGGCTATATGTCCATGTTCTAGAGGCATTCTCTCCTGACGTTTCGCCTGCATCTATGGCAAGCATCCTCAGAGGTAGTGAGGTTTATATATCTGTGGAATGTCCAGAGTGGGAGAAAGAATTCTTGTCTGCTTGAAGCAAGCGTGAATGTTGCAGTTGGCCGTCTTGATTAGAATTTAATGGCCTTGCAGCTTCAAAACCTGGCTGCTTTGTGCCTGGGGAAATGTTTGGTTGGGCGATGTTAGCTGGCCCTGATTGATTCTTGTCTGGAATTCCCCATTTTTGAGTGTTGCTCTTTATTTACTATTTTGATTTTAGAGGGGTGTTTTTAATACAGTAAAGTCTCACTTATCCAACCTTCACTCATCCAAAGTTCTGTATTATGCCCGGAATAATGTCCAGGGTGGGAGAAAGAAAGAACCCTTGTCTGTTTTGGTGCTAAATTCATAAATACAGTAATTACTACATAATGTTACTGTGTATCAAACTGCTTTTTCTGTCGATTTGTTGTAAAACATGATGTTTCAGTTCTTAATTTGTTAGTGCTTAATCCACTGGCTGCCTATTAGCTTCTGGGCTCAATGCAAAGTGCTGGTGCTCACCTATAAAACCCTAAACGGTTCCGGCCCAGTTTACCTGTCTGAACGTAACTCCCCCTACGAACCATCTAGGACCATAAGATCATCCAGGGAGGGCCTGCTCTTGGTCCCACCGCTATCGCAGTCGCGTTCGGTGGGGACGAGAAACAGGGCCTTCTCCGTGGTGGCCCTTCAGCTGTGAAGCTCTCTCCCCAATGAAGGTAGATCTGCCCCCTCCCTCCTGACCTTCCAGAGGAAGCTTAAATCCCGGTTATGGGATCAAGCGTTCACAGAATAGTTTGTTTACTGGGAAAGACAAGATTTTATTGGACCAGACTTGGACTGCTTTGGATGACGATATTAAATAAGTAAATAAATAAATCATAATCTAATTTGACGTTTAATAATCTTATCCATCATTGGCAGAAATTTATCCAATTGTCTGGTGATTATGTGGGAAAGTAAATAGTGGTAGTTAAAGAGCACATTCTAAGGATTATTTCTACGTTTGATTTATTAAAAATATTCCCACCCAAACCCAAGTAACAAAGGTGGAGGCATTACTTTTCATTCAACCCTTATACACACAGCAGCCTTCGCACTGGAGCTTTCTCACACAAGGCTTCTCTCACAACGAACTTACACTGGAGCTTTTTTACACACAGCAGCCTTCATGCTGGAGCTTTACACGTGAGGCTTCTCTCATACCAGGCCTTCTCATATCATGCCTTCCTCATACTGTGAGGCCTGCCTCACAGAGAAGCCTCACACAGAGTGAGGAGTTCCCTCACGGAGGCAAACTAACACTTAACAGGCTTCGGCCTACAAACTCTTTCAGTGCTTGACTGACATTTTTGTAATTGAAAATACCTAGTTAATTTTTAATATTTCTGACAAGACATATTTCTGTCAATATTTCTGTCAAGAATTCAATGATTGCACGTTGCTTAAGTCACACTGACAGTACTGCACTGGAGATTTCTCACACAAGGCTTCTCTCACAATGAACATACACTGGAGTTTCACACAGTAGCTTTTTACACACAGCAGCCTTCATACTGGAGCTTTACACATGAGGCTTCTCTCATACCAGGCCTTCTCATATCATGCCTTCCTCATACTGTGAGGCCTGCCTCACAGAGGAGCCTCACACAGAGTGAGGAGTTCCCTCCCTGAGGCAAACTAACACTTAACAGGCTTCGACCTACAAATATTCAGCGCTTGACTCACATTTTTGTAATTGAAAATGCCTAGTTAATTTTTAATATTTCTGACAAGACATATTTCTGTCAATATTTCTGTCAAGAATTCAATGACTGCACGTTGCTGAAGTCACACTGACAGTACTGCACTGGAGCTTTCTCACACAAGGCTTCTCTCACAACAAACTTACACTGGAGCTTTTTTACACACAGCAGCCTTCATACTGGAGCTTTACACGTGAGGCTTCTCTCCTACCAGGCCTTCTCATATCATGCCTTCCTCATACTGTGAGGCCTGCCTCAGAGAGAAGCCTCACACAGAGTGAGGAGTTTCCTCCCTGAGGCAAACTAACACTTAACAGGCTTCGACCTACAAACTCTTTCAGTGCTTGACTCCCCTTTTTGTAATTGAAAATACCTAGTTAATTTTTAATATTTCTGACAAGACATATTTCTGTCAATATTTCTGTCAAGAATTCAATGACTGCACGTTGCTGAAGTCACACTGACAGTACTGCACTGGAGCTTTCTCACACAAGGCTTCTCTCACAACGAACTTACACTGGAGTTTCACACAGTAGCTTTTTACACACAGCAGCCTTCATACTGGAGCTTTACACATGAGGCTTCTCTCATACCAGGCCTTCTCATATCATGCCTTCCTCATACTGTGAGGCCTGCCTCACAGAGAAGCCTCACACAGAGTGAGGAGTTCCCTCACTGAGGCAAACTAACACTTAACAGGCTTCGGCCTACAAACTCTTTCAGCGCTTGACTCACATTTTTGTAAATGAAAATACCTAGTTACTTTTTAATATTTCTGACAAGACAAAACCTTGGTTTCAGACAGAGAACCCAACCCGCCATTCCCTTTAGAGTTGGAAGGGACCTCCAAGGGTCATCTAGTCCTCCCGAGAGACGCACTTTTCTCACCCCTTCTCTCTCTTTCTTCCCTTTTTTTTGGCCTCTAAACAGTTCCAATTTGTAAATTCCTACCTAAGTCTTTTCTACATTGGATTCTACCTCAAGGACATGGAGCGGCTGAAGGAGGTAGGGATTGGGAACGCTGGGCTTCATCATCCATTGTCTCTTTGCACGTATTTTATTTGTGTTTCAGTTTGGGTTGCGTTGGATTTTTTAATTTTTTTCCTTTCTTTTCTTTTTCTTTTCCTGTCTGTCCGTCTCTCCTTTTCTTTCTTTCTTTCTCTCCCTCCCTCCTTCCATCCATCCATCTCCCGATCCTCAGCTCCTGGTCATCTTCTCCCTCTTCCAAAGCCTGGTGCGTCAGCTCAAAGACGCCGTCCTTCCCTCCGTTTTCCTCCAATTTCGTCTCTCCTTCATTTCCTTTAAGCGCTGGCTGGGCTTTTCTTGGCGGCGGGCCGAGGCCAAAGTAGGAGCCTTGGGGACGATGGGCTGGGGAGTGGGGGCCTCTGAATGGGAAACGTTTTCCGTACCTGGTTTGAAAGTGTTATTTCCTGTTTAATTATCCGCTCCTTACTTGGAAAGCCATCGTTCTACTCCAGAAACTGTTTTTTGTATGTTTTGAACAATGACACTCCTCAATGATGAGATATTCATTGAAACACTAGAGCCAAATGTGCTATCGTAGGATGATATAATAATAATAAACTTTATTTGTACCCCGCCACCATCTCCCCAATGGGGATTCGGCGTGGCTTACATGAGGCCAGGCCCGAACAACAATTACAATAAATGGCTTCAAACTACAAGAGAGGAGATTCCATCTGAACATTAGGAAGAACTTCCTGACTGTGAGAGCCGTTCAGCAGTGGAACTCTCTGCCCCGGAGTGTGGTGGAGGCTCTTTCTTTGGAAGCTTTTAAACAGAGGCTGGATGGCCATCTGTCAGGGGTGATTTGAATGCAATATTCCTGCTTCTTGGCAGGGGGTTGGACTGGATGGCCTATGAGGTCTCTTCCAACTCTTTGATTCTATGATTCTTTGAAAACCAAGACACAACCGAAAATGCGAACAATAAACAATAACATCATAATTATGTCCCTCCCGCAGAAACAAAGTTTGTGCAGTTTCATAAACTTTCCCCATGTTTTTATAATAGAACCAATTAGGAAATGACATTGATATCCCAGGAACAACAGTCATAGTGTTGCATAGTGTTATTGGCATTGCATTTGACACCCCACTTTTCCATGCACGCCAGCCCTTATGCACCCCAAATGTTAGGGTCCATCTGTCTATGGCAATTGTAGTTGGCACCCCACTTTTCTTCTATATGTACCTTGTATGGTCGGGGGGGGGGGCATCTGTCCATTGGGATTGCATTTGGTGCCCCACTTTTCCTCCATACCAAGCCTTATGTACCCCAAACATTTGGGTCCATCTGTCTATGGTGATGGCACCCCACTTTTCCTCCATGCCAGGCCAGATCGAGACAATTTTAAACAATGTATTTTAACGCTGAGATGAATGTTGTTGTTTTTAATTTTCTTTATTTATAATTATTTTTATTTTATTTAAGTAAACATACATTTGCAAGTGTTTGTTGCATACAGTGCAATACTTTCTATCAGTGTTCTATAATCATTTCTGATAATATATTTCTATTAAGCAGTCACAGTCTAAAGGTAAAGGTAAAGGTAGTCCCCTGACATTAAGTCCAGTCATATCTGACTCTGGGGGTTGGTGCTCATCTCCATTTCTAAGCTGAAGATCCAGCGTTGTCCGTAGACACCTCCAAGGTCATGTGGCCGGCATGACTGCATGGAGCGCCCTTACCTTCCCGCCGGATCTACTCACATTTGCATGTTTTCGAACTGCTAGGTTGGCAGAAGCTAGGGCTGACAGCAGAAGCTCACGCCGTTCCCCGGAATCGGTCACAGTTTACTATCTAAATAATACATAAAAAGATATCATAGATTTTTACTTTACATCCGCTTTTTCCTTGTCTACAGTCTTATAGGATCCTCTATATACATTTTTAATTTAACTTTACATTAAGGTGTTGAATCATTGGTTGCCATTCATTAACAAAGTTGTCTAATATTTCTCCTCTTAATAATACAGTTATTTTGTCCATTATCAACATATCTATAATATATTTTTCCCATTCTTCTAAAGGAGGTATATCTGGGGTTTTCCAATATCTAGCATATACTATTCTAGCTGCCACTGTTGTGTAAAACAATTTTTTTCCAAATTTTCTTTCTAATTAGAAAGAATGAGATGAATGTTTTTAATGTTTATGTCTGCATATAATGAATTCATGTCCCAGCATTGAATGTTTGCTGTTTGTACGTTGTGCTCCGTCATGAATCCCCTTTGGGGCAAAAAGTGTAGGATATAAATGTTTTAAATAAATAAATTATGTGTCTCAAATTTGCAATTGGCGCCCCACTTTTCCTCCATGCCCGGCGTTATGTACTCCATGTTCTACTCCAGGCCTGGGAACACCTATGACCACAGCACCACACAAGCATCCAGAATATAAGCGAACAGTTTATTGTAAAAACACGTAAAAATTATCGGAAAAAATCACGAATAAAGAATGGTAACACAGTCCAGGAATAGCCCAAAGTCTTTAGTCCACAAGCAAACATCTTTAGTCCACAAGCAAAAGGTAGTATACTTAGTAAAACTTGGAACAGGAACCCCAGAAACAAGAGGATAGAATTCCAGAATACCTGAATCCAGGCTTGACATGAAACAAGAACCAGAGAACTCAGGCCTAGGTTCTCACTTGAACACTACATTGCCTGCACTAACCCTTTGGTAAACAACTTGCTACTTAATAGACACCCATAAAAGCATTCCATTTCCCACAAATTATCTCCACAACTTTCTCACGTAATCGCTCTGACCTACGATGCCTATTTTCTGCTCTGATCTGTAAATAAAGACTTCTCTGTAGCTCCAGGTTTTTTTCTGGGAGCCTTCTGTATCACTTAGTTCTTCACCCAACTCCTTGTTTAAAGTTGCAGTTTCTGGCTCCTGTGACTAACCTTGAAGCTCTGTACTTTCCGAGTCAGATTTCTCACAGAGAGAAGCATAATTCCCTGACTTGAATCTTCATCACTTCATGCCCCAGGAAATCCTACAGGCAATCCCACAATCCTCTCTAAATCATTAGTGTACCCATCAGCTTTAGAAGCCTCAGACTGGTCTACAACACCCCAAATGTTAGGCAATTGCAATTGGAAACCCACTTTTCCTCCACGCCAGGCTTTACATACCCCAAATGTTACGGTCCATGTGTCTATGGCGATGGCTTTTGCCACCCCACTTTACCCCTTGCCAAGCCTTATGTACCTTGAATGTTGGGAAATCTGTGTAATTGCTGGCATTGTAGTTGGCCCCCCAATTCCCTACATGCCTGCCCTTATGTACCTCAATATTAGGGTCCATCTGTGTAGGCAGTTGCATTTGGCACCTCACTTTCCTTCCATGTCATATTATTATTATTATTATTATTATTATTATTATTATTATTATTATTATTTACCTTGAATGTTGGGAAATCTGTGTAATGACTGGCATTGTAGTTGGTGCCCCACTTTCCTCCCATGCCAGCCCTTACGTATCCCGAATGTTAGGGTGCATCTGTCTGTTGGCGATTGAATTTGGCACCCCACTTTCCCTCCATGCCATCATCATCATCATCATTATTTAATACTGATAATGATAATAATAATAATAATAATTATTATTATTATTATTATTATTATTATTATTATTTATATATCCTGAATTTTGGGATATCTGTGTAATTACTGGTAATGTAGTTGGTGCCTCACTTTCCCTCCATGCCAGGCCTTATGTACCCCAAATATTAGAGTCCACCTGTCTGTTGGCAATTGAATTTGGCACCCCACTTTCCCTCCATGCCTTTGTTGTTGTTGTTGTTGTTGTTGTTGTTGTTGCTGTTGTTGTTGTTGTTGTTATATACTAATAATATAATGGTAATAATAATAATTTATGTACCCTGAATGTTGGGGAATCTGTGTAATTACTGGCATTAAAGTTGGCACCCCACTTTTCCCACATGTTAGGCAATTGCATTTGTCATCCCACTTTCCCTCTGTGCCAGGCCTTGTGTACTATGAATTCTCCTGAGATTATGGTTGGCGCCCCTCTTTTCTTCCATGCTTTGCAGACCTCAAATGTCCGGGGTCTGTCTGTCCATTAGGATTGCTTTGGGTACACTGTTTTCCCTCCATGCCAGCCCTTATGTACCCCAAATGTTAGGGTCCATCTGTCTGTGGTGACTGCATTTGACACCCCACTTTCCCTCCATGCCAAGCCTTATATACCTTGAATGTTGGGGAATCTGTGTAATTACTGGTATTGCATTTGGCACCCCACTTTCCCTCCATGCCAGGCCATATGGACCACGAATGCTAGGATGTGTGTGTCTCTTGGAATTGTAGGATTGGAGAGGGACCCGGGGTGGTTGGTCCTCCATCCCGGGGCCCCTTCTTTCTCTCCCTCTCTGTTGTGTTCCCCCCGCAGATGCTGGCCACGCTCCTGATCACCCGCCAGTTCCTGCAGAACGTCAAGGAGGTCTCCCAGCCCCACCTCTACTCCAAGTTCAAGCGGGGCGACCTCAGTCCGCAGCACCTCCGGGAGGCAGCCCAGACCCTCCTGAAGCTGCTGGCCCAGAAGTGGGGGGGCCCTCGGAGGCGCACTGCAAAGGCGGAGGCTGGGACGAGGGGGGCACCCAACGGGGAGAAGAAATGCCTGAATGGCGGCTGCGGGGCCCCTGAGGACGAGGACGAGGATGACGAGGAAGAGCAGAAGGACTCTGACTCGGAGGACGAGAGCCTCCTGGACTGTGGCCTGAAGCTGAAGAAGGTCAGCTTCATTGAGAAGGCTGAGCGCAAGGCCGGTGGTGGGTTGGGGAATGAGGAGTCCAGCTTCCTGGAGGAGGGCAGCCCCACCATGGTGGAGAAAGGCATGGACCCGGCCTCTGTGTTTGAGTTGGGTGAAGATGACGAGGAGGAAGAAGAGGGCAGTGGTGGTGGGGTCCCAGGGAGCCCCCTCAAGGGCCTGATGATGGAGGCGGTGGTCTTGCGGCCACGGAGGCGCCGAGGGGCCCGGAACCCCGTGGGGGGCGAGGAGGAGGAGGAAGGCGAGGAAGAGGAGGAGGAGGAGGAGCGCCAACGGCGGAGGAACGCCCGCTCCTCGTGGATCGACCCGCCGGCCGAGAGCTTCACCACGCAGCTGGCCCAAGCCGAGGTGGAGAGCTGCATGAAGAAGTATGAGGTGAGGCTGCAGGGAGGGAGGGAAGTGGGGTCATTTGGCACTCCGGTAGGATGTTAGGAGTTGTGGAAGTCCAAAATACCTAGAGGGCCAAAGTTTGCCCATGTCTGGTTTAGAAGCTTCGAGTGCCAGCCGTCGAGCAAATGTGCTCCGGCAAATTTATATACGGAGTCAAGTTTGAAAAGTTTTGGAAGGATTTATTGAATATACATTTCTATATAGAAAAGTTAGGGCATAGTTGTCTTAACACACATTCGCTCACTCTCTCTTTATGGAAGCATCTTGTCTCCCTCCATGCTCACAGGAGAAGGGAGAGGAAAGGATAGAAGCGTTTATTTTTAAAGTTTTAACTATTATATCTGGCCCAGCCGTAGGTTTTTAAATCCTTGTGTGTTATTGTCTATGTGTGAGTTATATTAATTGTATTGCTTGTTGTTTTTATTGATGTGTTGTTGGGCTTGGCCTCACGTAAGCCGCTCCAAGTCCCTTGGGGAGATGGTGGCGGGGCATAAATAAAGTATTATTATTATTTCCCATCATCCCCAGTAAAGAGCAGCCTTAACTTCCTCCTACTCCAGGTCCCATCATCCCTTACAAAGAGCAGCCTTTGCCTCCAACTACTCCAGGTCCCATCATCCCTTACAAAGAGCAGCCTTAGCATCCTGCTACTGTGGACCCCATCACCCCCTACAAAGATCAGTCTTAACATCCTGCTACTCCAGGTCCAATCATCCCCTGCTAAAAGCAGCATTAGCTTCCTGGGTCTCATCATGTAAACGTGTTGTTATCCACCAAGAGTGAATCATTTGTCTCTGGTCATGTCAGCAGTTCAGCAACTTTTGATTCCAGTTGATCAGTTCTTCGCCTCCTTTTTGTAGTATCCCAGGCTTCAATCTTGGGATACCATCTCTAGCCTCTATGGGGATTGATCTATATAGGCCCCAGCCATACACCTTTCATATAGTTTCATTCAAACCAACCTCTCATATTTTGTCCATCGCACAAAGCCCACTTGCCTTCTCTTCTTTCCACCTGCCCAGGACACCTTCCAGGACTACCAGGAGATGTTCATCCAGTTTGGGTACGTGGTGCTCTTCTCCTCGTCTTTCCCGCTGGCCGCCCTCTGCGCGCTGATCAACAACGTCATCGAGATCCGGAGTGATGCCTTCAAGCTCTGCACGGGGCTCCAACGGCCCTTCGGTCAGCGGGTGGAGAGCATCGGGGAGTGGCAGGTCGGTCAATCGAGGCCCATTTACTCTTCTTGTTGTTTTGAGACTTCCTATTTGCAACAGGCCTCACTTGTGCTAGACACAGGCATAGGCTCGTATATATTGCCACTATTATATATTTATATAATATATATTTGCCAATTTATTATTATTTTTTTAAACCCAGTCAGAATGGATTTATTATCAGTGTTATTTGTTGCTTCATTCTTATGTATTATGATTTATTATATTTATTTATTATTATTTATTATTATTATTATTATTCATTCTTGCCAAGGGCTATGACTCCCAGGGTGCCTTTGCTGCCCTGCAGACGAACCCTTTCCTTTTCTCTTCCTGCAGAAGGTGATGGAAGCCATGGGGCTGTTGGCCATTATGGTCAATTGCTACCTGATCGGTCAGTGCGGGCAACTGCAGCGCCTGTTCCCGTGGCTCAGCCCCGAGGGAGCCATCATTTCCGTGGTGGTACTGGAGGTGAGTAGGGCAGCATTAACTTCCTGCTACTCTGGGTTGCATCACTCCCTGCCAAGAGCAGCATTAACTTCCTGTTACGCCAGGAGCCATCATCCCCTGCAAAAAGCAGCATTAGCATCCTGCTACTCCAGGTCCCATCACCCCCTGCAAAGAGCAGCCTTAACCTAGTGCTACTTTGGGTCCCATCATCACCCCCTGTCAAGAGCAGCATTAACTTCCTGCTATTCCATGTCTCATCGCCTATTGCAAAGAACAGCATTCACTTCCTTCTACTCCACGTCCTATCACCTACTGCAAAGAACAGCATTCACTTCCTGCTATTCCATGTCCCATCATCCCCTGCAGAGAAGCATTAACATCCTGCTGCTCCAGGTCCCATCACCCCTAGCAAAGGGCAGCATTAATTTCCTGCTACTGTTTTTCTCTCCCCCCACCCCCCACAGCATTTTGCCCTTTTGCTCAAATACATCATCCAGGTGGCCATCCCGGATGTTCCCGGCTGGGTCGCCGAAGAAATGGCCAAACTGGAGTATCAGCGGAGGGAGGCCTTTAAGGTGAGCGCCTTTTAAAGTATTTTGATTGGTCAATAGGCTACCTTTGAAGATCTTGAAACTGAGTTTGGATGGATATATTTTGGGGAATGCTTTAGTTGGTGCCTTCCTACCTCGCACCAGGAGGTTGGACTAGATGGCCTTTAGGGGTCACTTCCAATGCGAGTGGAAGAGGATGCCTCTCCTTTGGAGGTCTTTAAACCAAGGTTGGATTGATATTTTTAGGTATTTCATGGCAGAAGGGAATTTGAGTAGATGGCCTTTAGGGTTCATGTGGAGAAAATAATGATGATGATGATGGTGATGGTGGTGGTGGTGGTGATGGTGATGGTGATGATTATGATGATGATGGATCGTCGATGTTGCAATTCCAGGTGACATCAGGATTGAAGAGAAATAACTGGAAAAGCTGACACGATATGAGGATTTAAAGATCGAACTGCAAAGACTCTGGCACAAGCCAGTCAGTGTGATCCCAGTGGTGATCGGCACACTGGGTGCAGGGCCTAAAGACCTTGGCCTGCACTTAAACACAATAGGCGCTGACAAAATTATTATCTGCCAGCTGCAAAAGGCCACCTTACTGGGATCTGCACACATCATTTGCCAATATATCACACAGTCCTAGACACTTGGGAAGTGTCCGATGTGTGATCCAATACAACAGCCAGCAGAGTGATATTGTCTGCTGTGTACTAATCTTGTTGTGTATAATAATAATAATAATAATAATAATAATAATAATAATAGAGTTGAAAGAGACCTCAAGGTCCATCCAGTCCAACTCCTATCTGTCATGAAGGAAGACACCATTAAAGCCCTCCCAACAGATGACCACCCAGCCTCTGCTTCATGATGATAATGATAGAATCCTAGAGTAGGAAGAGACCCCCATCCAGGTGGGATTACAATCAAAGCATTCCTGACAGATGTCCATCCAGCCGCCTCTACATCAGCGATTCTCAAACTGCACTGAAATATGGTTACATTTTATGTTGCTTAAAATTGTTCCTTTGTTTTAAATACTGTTTTGTTCTTCCTTTCTTTTTTTGCACCACAAACGAGATCTGTGTGAGGTGCAGAAAAGGAATTAGTTCATTTTTTTTATCAATGAGTTCCCACAAACATTCTCCATCCATCTGCTGCCCCTGTGTCCAAATGTTTGCCCATGCCCGATATATATACATTATATATAATATATAGTATAATACATAAACATTTATTAGGGCTTCATGAGAAACCTTTGCTTCAAAAAGGGCTCTGCAGCTGGACAAGTTTGAGAACCCTTGGATTAGATAAATAGGTTAGATAGATAAGATAGGATATGATAGACTAGATAGGATAGATAGATAGATAGATAGATAGATAGATAGATAGATAGATAGATAGGTATTTAGGATATGATAGATTAGATAGGATGGATAGATAGATGGCTGGATGGATGGATGGACAGATATTTAGGATATGATAGATTGGATAGGATAGGATAGATATTTAGGATATGATAGATTAGATTGATTGGATGGATGGATGGATGGATGGATGGACAGATATGTAGGATATGATAGATTGGATAGGATAGGATAGATAGATATTTAGGATATGATAGATTAGATTGATTGGATGGATGGATGGATGGATGGATGGATGGATGGACAGATGTAGGATATGATAGATTGGATAGGATAGGATAGATAGATATTTAGGATATGATAGATTAGATTGATTGGATGGATGGATGGATGGATGGATGGATGGATGGATGGACAGATATGTAGGATATGATAGATTGGATAGGATAGGATAGATAGATATTTAGGATATGATAGATTAGATTGATTGGATGGATGGCTGGATGGATGGATGGACAGATATTTAGGATATGATAGATTGTATAGGATAGGATAGATAGATATTTAGGATATGATAGATTAGATTGATTGGATGGATGGATGGATGGACGGACGGATAGATATTTAGGATATGATAGATAGGATAGATAGATGGACAGACAGACAGATATTTAGGATATGATAGATAGGATATGATAGCTCAGATAGAAAGGATATATAGATTTTTTTCCATGTCAGGAGTGACTTGAGAAACTGCAAGTTGCTTCTGGTATGAGACAATTGGCCATCTGGAAGGGCGTTGCCCAGGGGACACCGGATGTTTTGATGTGTTACCATCCTTGTGGGAGGCTTCTCTCATGTCCCTGCATGGGGAGCTGGAGCTGACAGAGGGAGCTCATCCGTGCTTTCCCCTGATTTGAACCTCTGACCTGTTGGTCTTCAGTCCTGCCAGCCCAAGGGTTTAACCCAGGGGCCCTCAAACTAAGGCCCGAGGGCCAGATGTGGCCCTCCAAGGTCATTTATCCAGCCCTCGCTCAGGTTCAACCTAAGTCTGAAACGACTTGAAAGCACACAACAACAACAACAATCCTATCTCATTAGCCAAAAGGAGGCCCACACTTCCCATTGAAATACTATTAAGTTTATATTTGTTAAAATTGTTCTTCATTTTAATTATTGTATTGTTTTTAAGTATTATTTGCACTACGAATTCATTCATGGTTTTTTTCCCAAATTATAATCTGGCCCTCCAACAGTTTGAGGGACTGTGACCTGGCCCTCTGTTTAAAAAGTTTGAGGACCCCTGGTTTAACCTATTGCACTACCAGGGGCTCCATATAGATAGATATGACAGATAGGATATGATGGATTAAATAGATAGATAGATAGATAGATAGATAGATAGATAGATAGATAGATAGATAGGACAGATTACATCATCATCATTGTTATCATCATCTTCATCATAGAATCCTAGAGTAGGAAGAGAGCCCCAAGGGCTGTCCACTCCAAACCCCTTTGGCCATGCAGGAATACAATCAAACCCCTCCCAACAGATGACCTTCAGGTCTCCATTGGACTCCCTGGCAGTGTCTTCCATCCCTGGACAGTTCTGAAGTTCTTCCTAATGTTTAGGTGTTTGAGTCCATTGTCTTCTGGTGTTTAGAGCAGGCATGGGCAAACTTCGGCCCACCAGGTGTTTTGGACTTCAACTCCCACAATTCCTAATAGCCTACCAGCCAAAGTTTGCCCATGGAAAGCTTGACCCTTTTCCGAACAATACTGGAACCCGTCTCTCCCTCTCTCTCTCTCTCTGCAGAAGCACGAGCGCCAGGCGCAACACCACTTCCAGCAGCAGCAGCGCCGCAAGCGGGAGGAAGAGGAGCGGCAGCGTCACGCCGAGTACCATGCCGCCCGCAAGGAGCGCGAAGGCCGGGAGGAGGGCAAAGGGGGTGACACCGGCCCAGATCAAACGGGCCCGGAAAAAAGCCAAGGCAAAGGCAAAGGGGGCGGCCCCCATGGCGCGGAGAAGCCCAAGCGGCCCAGCTCCTTGCTGGCCACCAACAACGTCATGAAGCTGAAGCAGATCATCCCACTGCAGGGGAAGTTCTTATCCGGGGGCGCAACAGCAGCAGCAGCGGGAGGCGGGACAGCAGCGCAATCCCCGACCGGCTCCTCCGCTGACAACAAACTCCCTGGTTTCCTCAGCTTCAAGTTCCTCAAGTCGCCGGAGATGAAGAGGGAGGCCGAGAAGGTCCAGTCGCCCACCAAGCCGTTCAACCCGGGGAAACTTTTTAACTTCAGCAAGTCCGAGGGGGGAAACGGGGCCCCGGCGCTGCGGTCTCAACTCAACGGAGTGGCCGATGAGGAGGCGGCCGAGGAGGTCGAGATCCGAACCGCGGCTGAGGAGGACCACAAACTTTAGCAGATCACATTCGGGTTCAGACTTGGGGCAGGCGGGAAAGAAATTCGGCCGCCGTTTTGTTCTCCAAGCAGAATCAACATTTGGAATAAGAGGGCAATCGTTGACTCTAGCCCAGAAAGAGGGTTTTAGGACCCTTCCTCAATGTCCCCCGCTAGCCATTGGTTCAGGGTTTTGGAGATAAGTACTGAAAGTCTGCAGGATTGCAAAGGAATCATCTATATGTCCCTGTCCCTCGAAAAGGCCAATCCGCATGCCATTTTTCCCCATCCTTTTTAGTTTGGTGACTCGAGGGGGGGGGGGATGTAAACAAGTGCATCCAAAGTCTCCCACAAACTAGGAGAGTTAGAGCAATCTCAAAGTGGGGTCAATACAGCATTAGAGAAGTTGGGGAGACTCCAAACCGTTCCAAGAAAACCCCAAAATGGTTCAACTTCCCACAGTGTGAGATCTAGGGAACCCATGCCTTTTGTAGTTATAGCAGATACAGACGGAATTAATTATTCCTTCAGCAGATGGGGAAAAGGAACCTGCTTTCTTTGGCCTTGTAAGGATTGGAAAAGAAAACAAGAAGCCAACTTAGTAAATCTATGGACTCCTTTGCAGGTTGTGAGACTACTAGTAAGAGATTTGCACCCAAAACCTTCCCACTTGACCCCCCCCCCAAAGAGGTCAAAAATATGAGCCCAGAAGAGGAGATTTTAGAGCGGAAAGGGACCGCTATAAGCTATCCAGTTCACCCAAGGCCCTTCACTGGTTCTGATGGGAAATTTTCTTTTTTCCTTTTGGTGCTTTTTTTTTTTTTTTTGCTCGTTGCGAATTCCCCGTCCGTACCCCCGTTCCATTCTGCTCCCATGAACTACCATGACACATTGAGGGGTAAAACCGCTCGTCCTCTTTGTCTTCTGCTTGGAGAATAAACCCGCGGGGTCCACATTTCTGGTTTGCTTCTTGCACTAAACGCACCCCCTTTTATTTATTTTTCGGAACAATTCCACAGCAAAAAAGATTTGTTTTTTGCCGGAGGCGAAAATTCGTATTCCTCGCAATAATACGGACTTTCTTGACGAAGGGGAGGAAAAGGAAGGAATAATATGGGGCGGGGGGGGGGGGGGAAATGTGGTCACTGTAGGAATAGAGAAATTACTTTGAAAATCGGGTTGGGGTGGGTAGGGAGGGGCTTATTTTGCGCAAAGCCATGGCCGCTGCATTGTGCTTTCGTGGATCGAACGCAATGAATGCTTTGGGCACGGAAGTCCCCTCCGTCGGGCAACGAAGCGGATCCGTAGCGGAGAAGGGAGTGTCCAAACTGGGGTTCAAATACGACGGAGGAAGAGGGAAGTCGGGGCATTTGAATGAACCGAATCCAGAACCATTCTCTTATCGTTCTTTCTTTCGAATGCCGCTCCATTACGTTTCCAACCCTTTTTTTTTAATTCTGCAAAGGAAGGACAAAGAGGGTGGCCGCTTGGCAACGGAGATCCAAACGGACCTCTTTATTCTTCCTTTCTTTTGGTGCTTGCCATGCCTTGGAGCTCTTTCGCCACAGCAATAACGCCGCTTGCATGAGACTCGGGTGCAAGGGAAGTCAAGTTTTGTGGGCTTCGGTGCCTGTCAGTGGTGGTTTCGCACTCGGGTCCGCATCTTAAAGCTTTACAAAACCCAGAAACGCTTCTGAGCAAAGGGCTGGGAGGGTAATATTTGGGCTTCTCCCTTCCATCCTCCTCCATGGTGAACCTCGAACCCGGATCTCTCTCTCTTTGCCGCGAGCCCATTTCATGTCTTAAAACGGGTCGGTGGGGATAGGAGGAATCCTTAACGTCCTTATTTATTAATTTTGTGCTGCCTTTTGTTTGTTTATTTATGTATGTATGATGTTGGGGAAGGGGGAGAAAAGAAATACGGGAGGGGGAGGATCTCGGTTTCTTTTTAAGTTTTTTTGTCATATTTTTGTAAAACCAGCAGAAATGCAATAAAAATATATTTCAACAAGATGGAAAAAACCTGCATGTTTTGAGCTGTTTGGCACCCTATTCGTTGGGAACAACGCTCCCGAAACAACACTCCTTGGTAATCCACAACCATCATATTATGATGATGATTATTACTGTTGTTATTAATATAGTCCCTCCCTCCAGTCATTTCTGGTCAAAGCATTGCCAAAATATAAGGTTGCCCTAATAAAAATAATACCAAAAAAACCTCCCAATACTTACATTTAACATACTATTTTATATATTAGATTAGATGTAAGTTTATAAAATATAATCTTCTATACACATACCGTATATACTCGAGTATAAGCCGACCCGAATATAAGCTGAGGCACCTAATTTTGCCAGAAAAAAACTGGGAAAATGGATTGATTCGAGTATAAGCCGAGGGTGGGAAATGCAGCAGCTACTGGTCAGTTTCAAAATATAAATAGATACCAATACAATTACATCAATTGAGGCATTAGAAGGCTAAATGTTTTTGAATATTTACATAAAAGTGTAATTTAAGATAAGACTGTCCAACTCTGATTAAACCATTATTCTCACCTTCAATGGAAATTTCCTTATGTATCTTTCCAATAATAGAGTGAAATAACAAATGTAATAATAATAATAATAAAGTAAAATAATAAATGTAATAAGAGTAAAATGATAAATGTAATAACAACAACAACGTCAACAACAACAGAATTCAATAATAAATAAGCTTGACTCGAGCATAAGCCGAGAGGGATTTTTTCAGCCTAAAAAAAGGGCTGAAAAATTAGGCTTATACTCGAGTATATACAGTAATAAAAGTGAAAATAAGTATGAAAGTGTGTGGCTGGGATGCCTTCAGAAACAGCTATAGCCCCTACCCCTCAGGATACACCAATGGCCTTCCCTCCAATGACACTGCAGGTTTTAGTGAGTGCCCACTACCCAAATGAAGGCTTTCATACGGGGACAATTTCATGCTAGATTTTATGTGTTTCCTCCACCAGACATCCCAGTGTTCCTTATTCTCTCCATTGATGGGGAATTTGCATGACTCTGCCCACTGCCTCTCCCTTAACCTTTCCTACTCTTTTCAATTCTGTCTGCACAACAACAGCAGGACTAATCAGCAACGACACAAACTGGAGGAGTTTGAGGGATTGACTCCACATGATGGAAGTTGTAGTTCACCCTGCATCAAGTCAAAGCGCTGTGGACCTGGACCACATTTGTCACGCAGAACCCTATGACCAATGAAAAATACAGGAGAGGTTTTGGGGGAATTCAACTTGATCTATAGCCGTTGTAGGTACTGGGATTTATAGTTCACCAGCAATCAAAGAGCACTCTGCACTCCACCAATGATGGCCCTAGACCTCATTTGGCACACAGAACCCCCATGACCAACAAAAAATGCAGGTGGGCTTTGGGTGAAGTTCACCTTGATTTATAGGAATTATAGTTCACTTATATCCAGAGAGCATTGTGAATGTAAACAACAATGGATCTGCACCAAATTTGGCACACATACTCGATATGCCACAATTTGAGTTTCTGGGGGTTAACCAGGCATGACATAAGTTGCAGTTCATCCACAACCCTATGCATTTTGTAAAATAAAAAAATGACGTCTTCTAATAACCCGCGCAACGCCAGGGACACAAGTTAGTTACTAATAAAAATAATCAAAGCCCCATACTTATATTTAACATACCGTTTTATGTATTAGATGGAAGTTTATAAAATATAATATAAATATAGGTACAATAAGTATTCAAATGTATCGCTGCAGTTCATACTGCACTGTACTTTTAACATTAAGAAAATGGCTACTACTTTCGGATCTGAAAAAATGGGAATTTCATCCCCAAAATAGAAATCATTTTCTAAGATCTACAGAGACACTCACTGGAACACCTCAGCAAGCGAGAGTCCAAAAGTGGCAGGCTAAAACCCAGAACATCAATCCATGGCTGATACCAAATGAAAGACTCCCCCCTGAGCACACAGAAAACTGGGCGACTTGGAAGGCGCTGAACAGACTGCGCTCTGGCACCACGAGATGCAAAGCCAATCTTAAGAAATAGGGCTACAAAGTGGAAGCCACAACATGCGAGTGTGGAGAAGAGCAAACTACAGACCACCTTTTGAATTCAAAAGAATTTGACCTCAAAAAGCAACTGGCATCAGATCTGAAAGAACAGAAATTTCACCCAAAATTTAACTTGCTTTGAATTCAAAAGAACAGGAATTTGACCCTGAAAGGACAGGAATTTAACCCCCCCCCCCCCCCAAATGCTTTTTTGAGTTCCAGGGACAGAGAAGCTGGTGGTGAAAACGGCCTGCCTCAGGGGAGCACGCTTGCTCCCTTAATGTTTAACATTTACAGAAATGATCACTCACTGCCAGAAGGGACAGAGTTTCATCTGTGCTGACGATCGTGCCATCACCACCCAAGCAAGGAGCTTTGAAATGGTTGAACAGAAGCTCTGAGAAGCTTGAGGTGCTCTTCCTGCCTATTACAGGGGAAACCAGCTGATTCCTAATCCTTCAAAAATGCAGACGTGTGCTTTTTCCCTTAAGAACAGACAAGTTTCTTGAGCTCTGAGGATGACCTGGGAAGGAATCCCACTGGAGCATTGCAGCACACCCAAACACCCAGGAGTTACCCTGGACTGTGCCCTGACCTGCAAGAAGCACTGCTTGAACTATCAAGCAAAAAGTGGGTGCTAGAAATAATATCATATAAAAGCTGACCGGCACAACCTGGGGATCACAACCAGACACAGGGAAGACATCTGCCCTTGCGCTTTGCTACTCGGTTGCCCAGTGTGGAACACATCTCACCACATTAAAACAGTGGATGTTGCTCTTAATGAGACATGCGACATTATCACAGGATGTCTACGCCCAACACCACGAGATAAATTACGCCGTTTAGCCGGTATTGCACTACATGCAAGTAGAAGCCAATAATGAAAGGACCAAGGCAGTGACATCTCCGGCCAATTCTCTGTTCAGATATTAGCCAGCATGCCAACCCCTTAAATCAAGAAATAGCTTTTTAAGATCTACTGAGATAGTCGCAGGAACATCTCAGCAAGCAAGAGTCCAAAAGTGACAGGTTAAAACCCCGAACCTCAATCAGTGGCTAATACCAGATGAGAAACTCCCCCCTGGGCACACAGAGGACTGGGCGACTTGGAAGGCGCTGAACAGACTGCGCTCTGGCACCACGAGATGCAGAGCAAACCTTAAGAAATGGGGCCACAAAGTGAAGTCCACAACTTGCGAGTGCGGAGAAGAGCAAACCAACAGACCACCTATTACAATGCAACCTGAGCCCTGCCATATGCACAATGGAGGACCTGCTCACAGCAACACCAGAGGCACTCCAAGTGGTCAAAGGACATTTAGTACAATGCCAAGTTTTACGTTTCTTTGTGGTTTTTCTATACATTATAACTGTATTCTCAATTTGCTTCTGACACGATAAATACATACCACCAAAAAGGAAATGGTTTCAAATACAAAAGAATGGGAATTTCACCCCAAAAAGGAACTGGCTTTGGCTTGTAAGAACAGAGCGAAGACAGTGAGAAATATCCTTCTTTATTCTACAGATCTGGTCCATTCAAAGACTGGTGCATGAGACAAAGAGAGAAGGGGAGGGGAAACGGCGGGATCGTGAGGTCTTTCTTTCCTTTTGTCTGGCTTGCAAACCTATGATCAAAGGGCTACCAAATTCTGGGAGAAACTGAGACAAAAGGGGGCCACACATCTGTCAAGGAAAAAGCAAAACTGGGGGGGGGGGCATCTTGGCATCCCTGCTCTCGAAAGGCATCTGGAGGAATCCGAACAATTTGGATTTTCAGGAGGCTTTGAATCAGCTCCGATGCGCCTAAAATAAGAGGGGGAACTTCCCCAAAAGAGGAGAATTTGATTACGTAATTAAAGGGCCGCCTGTGACATTTTCAACACGGGAGCGAGCAAGCGCATATAAATAATCATGAATAAAAACACAGAAGGGCTCCCCCTTCTCTCCCCCCTCAGAATAAATACGAATCAGCTCCTAAGTGGTGCAAACCGAGAACGGAGGGAAAGGGGAATGCGTTTGTGGGTGTTCAAAAGACCGGAAATATTATTATTATTAGTATTAATAATAACAATACAATGAACCATAATCGGGACCCCGCACGGGAAGTGCCTGGAAAGGTGAAACAACGCCGAAGGCAAACAAACGCAAGAGTGTTTTGTGTTTTTTTGTGTCGTCGTTTTTTAAGTGTCCTCATTCATGTCTTGGCTATCTGTCCGGGCGATTTTGCGAGGAGGAGCCGAGTTCTCGCCTTCGATCTCCACTTGTTCGGGGTCTCGCTTCTTCGCCGCGTTCTGTGCAAACCGGGAACAAAAGGAGAAGGGTTAGGCTTCGCTTGGACAACGAGGCCATCAGAGGCATTATCTTACGGCAAAGGAGGCCAATGTTGTTCTCGTGCAGGATCTCATTCCCGGAATCCAGGGAAGTCCTATCTCAGTGTTATCGAAAGCTCTCATGGCCAGAATCACTGGGTTGCTGTGAGTTTTTTGGACTGTATGTCCATGTTCTATGGCCGGGCTTTAGCACAGCAGGCTAGAATCACATTGGCCTTTTTTGCTGCTGCTTCACAGTGTTAGCTTGTGCTCAGTTTGGATAAGAAATCATAACAACAACAACAACAACATAACCAGCCCTGATAAGTGGAAAAGAAATAATAATAAAAATAATTTTTGCTGGGCTTTAGCACAGCTGGTTAACTGCCTGCTGCAGTAAATCTTGTCAACGAAAAGGCTGACAGTTCAAAGCCCAGGTCAGGATGAGCTCCTGGCCTTTAGCCTAGCTTCTGCCTACTTAGCACTATGAAAGCAACATGTGAGTAGATAAATAGGTACCGCTTAAAAGCAGGGAGTCTTCAGGCTCAAACTTAATTCAGTTGGTCAAAACCCATGAACTATAGGCACAGTATTACATTGTGTTTTTTTTTTTTTGGTTGTGTCAGGAGCGACTTGAGAAACTGCAAGTCGCTTCTGGTGTGAGAGAATTGGCTGTCTGTAAGAACGTTGCCCAGGGGACGCCCGGATGAATTGATGTTTTTACCATCCTTGTGGGAGGCTTCTCTCATGTCCCCGCATAAGGAGCTGGAGCTGATAGAGGGAACTCATCCGCCTCTCCCCGGATTCGAACCTGCGTCCTGTCAGTCTTCAGTCCTGCCAGCACAAGGGTTCAACCCACTGCGCCACAGGGGGGCTCCATTGCATGGTGAAGTCAGACTAGTCTGGGACAAAGGTGAGGCCATTATTTTCCTTGATCTAAACTCCTATGTGTGCAGGCTAAAATCACACTGTCATTTTCTGCTGCTGCACAGTGTTGGCTCATGCTCAGCTTGGATAAGGAATCCATAATAATAATCATCATTATCATCCATGATGGTGATGATGATGACGATGATGTTACCAGCCGTGATAAGTGGAAAATAATAATTGGGCCGGGCTTAAGCACAGCTGGTTAACTCCCAGCTGCAGTAAATCTTGCCAACTGAAAGGCTGACATTTTGAAGCCCACGTCAGGGTGAGCTCCTGGCTTTTAGCCCAGATAAATAGGTACTGCTTAAAAACAGGGAGGTATTTAAGATACCCATAAGGAAATGCCAGAAAAATGCCGACGATTCGATCAAGGAGGAAGTTCACAAACAAAGCTCTTCCACAGGGAAGATGGAGCAACAGCACCCTCCAGTGGCCGAAACCAAGCACAAGCCTCCAAGGTGCCAAAGATGGGAAAAGCCTATACAGTGTTCCCTCGCTACTTTGCAGTTCGCTTTTCGCGGACTCGCTGTTTCGCAGGTTTTTGCCTCCCAGTTTATGAATGGTTGCTGTTGCCCAGAATTGTGTTCTAATCCCACCTCCTGGCAACAATGTAGAAGGGGGTTTCACCCTCCGCTTCGGGAGAGAGGCAGCCAATGAAGAGAGATTGCAAAGCAGAGATAAAAAACAAAAAAAAGCGGTGCCTTTAAATCTCTCCTCGCTTCTGCCTCACCCTCGGAACTCGATATACATATAGAGCATCCCTACTTCACGGATTTTCACTTTTTGTGGGTGGTCTTGGAACGTAACACCCACGATAAGTGAGAGAATACTGTATAAACCTCTATCTATGTTGTTGGTGTTTCTCAACCTTGCTAATGCCATGACCCCTTAATACAGTTCCTTATGTTGTGGCGTCCCCCAACTCTAACATTATTTTTATTGCTATTTTATAACTGCAATTTTGCCACTGTTAAGAATCGTAATGTAAATATCTGATATGCAGAATGTAAAATACACTGTAAAATGTAAAACACATTCACTGGACCAAATTTGGCACAAATACCCAATACGCCCATATTTGAATACTGGTGGAGTTGGGGTGATTTATTTTGTCATTTGGGAGTTGTAGTTGCTGGGATTTATTGTTCACCTACAATCAAAGAGCATTCTGAACTCCACCAACGATGGGATTGAACCATACTTGGCAAACAGAACTCCCATGACAAACAGAAAATAATGGAAGGGTTTTGAGGCCATTGACCTTGACTTTGGGAGTTGTAGTTCACCTACATGCAGAGAGCACTGTAGACTCAAACAATGATGGATCTCGACCAAACTTGGCACGAATACTCAATATGCCCAAATGTGAGCACTGGTGGAGTTTGGGGAAAATAGATCTTGACATTTGGGAGTTGTAGTTGCTGGGATTTATAGTTCACCTACAATTCGAGAGCATTCCTGTCCGAACGCATCTCTCCCTATGAACAATCGCTGAGATTAAGATCCTCTGGGGAGGCCCTGCTTTCCATCCCGCCATTGTCACAGGCAAGATTGGTGGGGATGAGAGACAGGGCCTTCTCGGTGATTGCTCCCAGGCTATGGAACTCCCTTCCTGGTGAGATCAGGCTGGCCCCCCTCCCTCCTGTCCTTCAAATTTTTATCAGCTGTGGGACCAAGCTTTCGGGACCTGCGCACAACTTGTTTGCTCTCCGCACAGCTAGCGCGCGTGCATGGCGAATGGGGGGAGAAACGGTGTCATGCACCTACCTCTCTACTTGTCTTGCTATGTGCGTGGAGGGCAGAGAGGCTGCATGCGTGGTGAGTGGGGAGAAATAGAGGCGCGCGGCAAGACACGCAGGGAGGGAGGTGCACGCCTCTATTTCTCCTTCACTCGCCCTGCACACAGCTTCTCTGTTCTCCGCGCACACGGCAAGATGAGCAGGGAGGGAGGTGCGCATCTCCGTTTCTCTCCCATTCGCCACGCGCACAGCCTCTCTGCCAGCTGGGTTGCTGTGTGGAGGGCGCATACACGGTGAGTGAAGGAGAAACGGAGGCGTGAGCCTCCCTGCTCACCTTGCCACGCACTCTTCTCTGTTTCTCGTTCAGTCACCAGAAGGGGAAAGCGCAAGATGGCCTTATTAACAAGTGACATTGAGGCTAGATGGCCATCTGACAGGGTTGCTTTGATTGTGCTTTCCCTGCTTGAAGGCAGAATGAAGCAGTTTGGACTAGATGGCCCAAGGGGTGTCTTCCAACTCTATTTATTATTACCAATCATTGATATTGAGTCTAGATCGTCATCTGGCTGGGGTGCTTTGATTGTGCTTTCCCTGCATGAAGGGGGTTGGACTACATGGCCTTTAGAGGTTCTTTCCAACTCTTGGATTCTATTTTTATTTTGAAATTTACCAGTAGTGGCTGCATTTCCCACCCTCGGCTTATACTCGAGTCAATATGTTTTCCCATTTTTTTGTGGAAAAATAGGTGCCTCGGCTTATACTCGGGTCGGCTTATACTCGAGTATATACGGTACTTGGCAGGGAAAGTGGAGCGACAGCATCTTCCAGTGGCTGGAACCGAGCACAAGCCTCCAAGATGCCAGATGGGAAAAGCCTACACATGCCTCTATCTACGTACAGTTGTCTGTCTTGTCAGTATATAATGGCATCAACGTTTGCCATATATGCACTTTCTGTGATCCTACCTATATCCTCTTCAAGGCGAGAAGTGTGGGATATAAATACATCAAATAAATAAATAAATTTCCAGTAGCATTCTCTCCTGACGTGTGGCCTGCATCTGTGGCAAGCACCCTCAGTGGTTTTGTTCACAAATCTGTTGGAAATGAGGCAAGTAGCGTATATATATACCTGTGGAATAATGTCCAGGGTGGGAGAAAGAAAACTTGTCTTTTTGAAGCAAATGTGAATGTTGCAATTGGCAAACTTGATTAGCACTGAGTAGCCTTGCAGCTGCAAAGTCAATCAGTGTTGTTGCCTGGAGGCATCCTTTCTCTGGTTACCAGTATTTTAAAAACACCAAAATCAAGTCCGTAAATAAAGGACATAACTCAGAAACAGGGGAACTCCAGAAAGAAAACAACCAAGTGCTAGTTAGCACCTCTCAAACAGAGGGTGCCTCCAGGCAACAGAGGCCAGGCTACCTCTATGCAGATACCCTCACTGATTGACTTTACAGCTTCATGGCTACTCAATGAAACTTAAGTTTGCTAATTGCAATATTAATACTTGTTTGAGAGACAAGGGTTCTTGCTCCCACCCTGGACATCATTCCACACGTATATATACACTCCACTTGCCTCATTTCCAACAGACTTCTGAGCAAACAGACCTCTGAAGATGCTTGCCACAGATGCAAGTGAAACATCAGGAAATAATGCTACAGGAACAGTCATACAGCCCGAAAAACTCACAGCAACCCAGTCCTGTCTCTGCTATATCTACAGATTCACAAATGGTCTCAAATCCTCTCCTCTCCCTAAAAAAACCCTCCAAACTTTGAAAGGCACAATTAAAGCCCTCCCGATAGATGGCCACCCAGCCTCATAGACATTAACAGGTCCATGGGCTATAGAATCATAGGATCCTGGAGTTGGAAGAGATCTGTGGATCATCCAGTCCAACTCCTTTCTATCATTAAGGAAGACACAATCCAACTCTCCCCCACAGATAGCCATCCAGCCTCATACATAGTAACATGTCCATGGAGAATTAGGACTATGAAAATACAGAATCCTATAGTTGGAAGAGACCCCAAGAGCCATCCCGTCCAACCCTCTTCTGCTATGCAGGAATACAATTAAAGCCCTCTTGACAAATGAACATCCAGCCCCATATACATTAACGGGTCCTTGGAGAATTAGGACTATGGAATCCTATATTTGGAAGAGACCCCATGGGCCATCCCGTCCAACCCTTTTCTGCCACAAAGGAAGACAATCAAAGCCCTTCCGACAGATGGCCATCCAGCCTCATAGACATCAACACGTCCATGGAGAATTAGAGCTATAGAATCCTATAGTTGGAAGCCCCCATGGGCCATCTGTCCAACTGTCTTCTGCCACAAAGGAATACAATCAAAGCCCTCCCAACAGATGGCCATCCAGCCTCATAGACATCAACATGACCATGGAGAAATGGGGCTATAGAATTCTAGAGTTGGAATAGACCCCATGGGCCATCCAGTTCAAGCCCCTTCTGCCATGCAGAAATACAATCCAAGCCCACCCGACAGATGGCCATCCAGTCTCATAAGACATTAACAGGTCCATGGAGAATTACGGCTAAAGAATCATAGAGTCCTAGAGTTAGAAGAGACCCCAGGGGCCATCCAGTCCAACCCTCTCCTGCTGTAAAGGAATACAATCAAAGCACCCCCAATAGATGGACATCTGGGATGGTGTAATAATAATAATAATAATAATAATAATAATAATAATAATAATAATAATTTCAATAGAAAGGAAATTATTATGCCTTATTTTCCACAAACCTCTAGACCAGGGGTCCTCAAACTAAGGCCTGGGGGCCGGATGCGGCCCTCCAAGGTCATTTACCCGGCCCTCGCTCAGGGTCAACCTAATTCTGAAACAACTTGAAAGCACACAATAACAACAATCCTATCTCATCAGCCAAAAGTAGGCCCCCACTTCCCATTGAAATACTAATAAGTTTATATTTGTTAAAATTGTTCTTCATTTTAATTATTGTATTGTTTTTAAGTGTCTTTTGCACTACAAATAAGATATGTGTAATGTACATAGGAATTCATTCATGTTTTTTTCAAATTATAATCCGGCCCTCCAACAGTTTGAGGACTGTGACCTGGCCCTCTGTTTAAAAAGTTTGAGGACCCCTGCTCTATTATTTATTATTATTTATTTAGAGCTTTTATAAGCCGGTCTTCTTGACCTCCGAGGAGGGACTAAGGCCGGCTAACAACAGAGAATCAATATACAAATAAACTAAAGCATAATAACATCATAGTACATTAATACATTAAAACACATTAAAATACAGATCAAGAATTACATAAAAGCCAATTCGTCAAGGTAAATCACAAATTCATCACCATCCGCCTTGTGGTCAACAGTTATTGATTCGATCATCAATCTGAGAATGCTAAGTTCCAGAGCCAAGATTTTACCATCTTTCTGAAAATCAGGAGGGAGGGGGCAGATCTGATCTTTATCGGGAGAGAGTTCCACAGCCAAGGGGCCACCACCAAGAAGGCTCTGTCTCTCGTCCACACCAGAAGCGATTGCGAAGGTGGTGGGACCGAGAGCAGGGCCTCTCCAGAAGATCTTAACAACCTTGATGGTTCGTAGACAAACCTCTGAAGATGCCAGCCACAGATGCAGGTGAAATGTCAGGAGAGAATGCTGTTGGAACAGGGCCAGACAGCTCAGAAAACTCACAGCAACCTGGTGATTCTGGACATAAAAGACTTCGACAACTCAAAAGAAGTCCTTACAAAGTCAACTAGATGGGTTTTCCTTCCATTGAGTCAATCACACACACACACACATAATTCCCAAACACCAAACCTTGATTTTACCCAAGCCTTTGGATGTCCCTTTGGCCCAAACTACAACTCCCAGGGAGCCTTACCTTTTTGTCCCACTGCTGATGTAGGTAACGCAGGAGTATATTTGTCTTTTCTGTTACAATGACTGTCGCAGAGAGAAAAGAAAGAAAACCATGTCAGGAATTGCATCCCTCAGTCTGGGTTTGGTTTCTATAAAGCAGATGATAAGAACTTACTTTGTTCTGAGGGGTATTCTCGAGTGGGGAGGTAAACGGAAGGCCTTCTGTTCTGTAAATTAAAAAGAAAAGAAACCAAATTTAAATTATGCAGATTGTATGTTTACTATCAGCTCCCTTGAGTTCCTATACCAGGAGAAAGGCATCGGGATAAAAGCAAAATAAAAGAAGTAAAGAATAAGAAGATATTATTGTTGTTATTTGAATTATTGTTATATCAGAGTAATAGCTCACTTTTTAAAAAAACTAAAACAGCTAATACTAACCGGCCAACCCAGAAACTTAGTCCACCAAAGGCCCTCCCTCCAATGATATTGCAGGTTATAGTGTATGCCATGAACATGTTCAAAAGCTCTGGCAATGTCCTCCACAAACACCACACTGCCCACCACCCAAGTGACGGCTTTCATACAGGGACAATTTCATGCTAGATTTTATGTGTTTCCTCCACCACAGACATCCCAGTGTTTCTGACTCTCTCCATTGGTGTGGAATTTGCATGGCCCCATCCACAGCCTCTCTCTTAACCCTTTCCTACCATTCATATGGCGCATAGCAAACAGGAATTGATCAGCAACTGAAAATACTGGAAGTTTTGGAAGGGCTGAATCAACATGATGGAAGTTGTAGTTCACCCTGCATCAAGACAGAACATTGTGACCCCCACCAGCAATGGACCTGGACCAAATTTGGCACACAGAACTCCCATGACCAACACAAAATCCCGAAGAGGTTTGGGGGGAATTGAGTTTGATTTATAGGAGTTGCAGTTCACCTACATCCAGACAGCACTGCGGATCCAAAGATGGATGGATTTGGACCAAACTTGGCAGTTGTGGGAGTTGTAGTTTACCCTGCATGCCCAAATTAGAATACTGGTATGTTTTGAAGGGAACTGGCCTGGACATTTTGGAGTTGAAGCTACTGGGATGTATAGTTCAACTGCAATCTGAGAGCACTCTGAACGCCACCAAAGCTGGCATTGGACCAAAGTTGGCACGTAGGGCCCCCGTAACCAGCAAAAAATACTGGAAGTCTTTGCGGGGAATTCACCTTGATTTGGGGGAGTTGTAGTTCACCTACATCCAGAGAGCACCGTGATCCCAAACGATGATGCACACGTGCCTGATACACACAAATTTGAATACTGGAACTGTTTGGGAGGGATTGACTATGATTTTTGGAGTTGTAGTTTATCTACATCCAGAGAAATTGTGACCTCCACCGACAATGGACCTGAATCAAACTTGGCATGCAGACCCACCATGACCAACTGAACATACTGGAGGGATTTGGGGGAAACTGACCTTCATTTCTGAATGTTGTAGTTCACCTACAGGCAGAGACACTGAGACCACCAAGGATGATAGTTTTGGACCAATCTTGGCACACAGAACCCCCATGACTAATGGAACCAATTGGAGGGGTTTGAGGGGACTAACCATAGTGGGAGTTGTAGTTTACCCTACAGCTAAAGAGCACACTGAACCCCACTGATGAGGCATCCAAAGCAAACTTGCCCAACATAACAAACTTGAAGTACTGGTGGAGTTTCAGAGGGTTAACCCGGTATGATGGGAGTTGTAGTTCACCCACAACCTTATGCATTTTTGTAAAATAAAAAAAAACAGACTTTTCCAAATAACCCAGGCAACACTGGGAACCCAAGCTACTGTATGTATGCATATGTGTGTGTGTGTATATATGTGTATACACACACACACACACACACACACACACACTTTCCTTTGTGAGGATTAATACAATTATCTATTTATCTATATTATTTTTATGACACTTTTTCTCTCTTGAAAGAGACCCAAAGTAGTAGGTGTAAGAGACATCCTAAAACATTATCTTCTGAGCTTCTTAGTACTCCTCCTCCAAAAATAATCCTTTATTTTTCAAATAATGTTCTAAGGGAAATTGGATGGTTGACTTATCTCTGGATTGTCGTTTTGATCCCAGGGCTCTGCTGAAAAATAAAGAAAAATACTTACTGACGCTTTACATATGGAGTCTGCATGGAACCGGCTGAAATTGCTTTTGTTATAGACAGGCAAGCCTTTCAGGAAGTCCGCCTGCAAAGAAGACAACGGAGATGGATCCTCAGATAAAATGGTTATAAAAAGATTTAAGATGGAAATCTCCAATGAGGTTGGAAAGAGCCATATAGGCCTCCCCTCCAAGGAAAACCAATGGATGGAAGTGCCAGAGTTAGAAACAACTCAGTTTCCATTTTGATTTCCTCGACTTGCCAATGATGAGGATGATGGGAGTTGAAGTTGATCACCCCTCAATGATTACTAATTCTACTCTCAAATATAGGCCATAGATAGATGGGAAGGTAGAGAGATAGATAAGTAGATAAACAGAAAGATAGAAAGATAGATAGAAAGGTAGGTAGATAGATAAATAGATAGAAAGGTAAATAGGTAGGCAAATAAATAGAAAGGTAGAAATAAAGGTAGATAGAGTGATAGATAGAAAGATAGGTAGGAAGAAAGAGAGAGAGAGAAAAAAATAAAAAGTAGATAGATAGATAGATAGACAGACAGACAGGCAGGCAGGCAGGTTGGTAAATAGAAAGGTAGATAGGTAGAGAGATAGATAGGTAGGTAGGTAAACAGATAGAAAGGTAGGTAGATAAATAGATAGAAATGTATTTATTTATTTATGACATTTATATGCCGCCCTTCTCACCCCGAAGGGGACTCAGAGTGGCTTACAAGGTATATATACATATAATATATTATTAACATAGTACAATATCAGTTTTAAATATTGCTATATTGCACTATATCAATTATACTGTAATATTATTAGTAATATTACATGTAATATAAATATATAATTATAATATCATATTATTATTACTAGTATTATATTGTATTACATTACAATATTATAAATATTATATGTATATACAATATATTATATATTATATTATAACATATTATTAGAATAGAACAGGAGACAAGGTGGAACTGTCCCCTGGCCCCTCTTTCTTCGCTCTGGCCCAGAGCGGCAGTTGGTGCTGGGGGGAGGGGCTCCAAGTATATAAAGACAGGTATATAAACAGATAGAAAGGTATATAAATAGATACAGATAGAAAGGTAAGTAAGTAGCTAGGTAGGTAGATAAATAGAAAGGTAGGTAGATAGCCAGACAGGGAAAATAGCTATCTATCTAGATAGAGAAAGGGTAGGTTGATAGATATTCTCAAAGCATGCCTTCCCAAACCATATCACCCTGATATTTTCACAGGATCCCAGAGCTAGACATTGGGGTGCAGAGACGTCATGCACATTGGTATGCTTCGCAGGAAATATACTCCATCTTTCAAATAGGGGTGGGAGGGTTCTTAATCCTTTTCAAGACAATGCACATGACTCAAAGTTCCCCAGGCTTCCCTAACCCCCACTCCCCGCCCCACAAAGCCTGCTTTGCTCCAAGTGTGCCCTCCCACAAGCTTCCCAAAGCAGACTTTGACTCAGAGAAGAGAGGAACCCCTCTTCCTTCAGCCTACCCCCACAAAAGGGACTTCCGGGTGGGCAGATAAATAGAAAGTTAGATAGATGGGTAGATAAATAGACAGAAAGGGAGATAGATAGGTAGGTAGATAAATAGATGGATAGAAATGTAGGTAGGTAGATAAATATATAGAAAGACAGGTAGGCAGATAGATAAATGAGTGAATAAATAGAAAGGTAGACAGAAAGATAAGATAGGTAGATAAATAAATAGAAAGGTAGGTAGGTAGATGAGCAGTTAAATAGACAGTAAGGTAGATAGATAGGTGGGTAGATTAATAGACAAATAGAAAAGTAGGTAGACAGATGGATAAATAGAAAGGTAGGTAGATACATGAGTAGCTAAATAGATAGAAAAGGAGGTAGATTGGTAGGTAGATAAACAGATAGAAAGGAAGGTAGGTAGCAAGCTAGGTAGGTAGGTATAGATAGATGGAAAGGTACTTTAAGTAGGTAAATAGATATAAAGGTAGGTAGATAAAAAGATAGAAAAGCAGGTACGTAAATAGATAGAAAGGTAGGTGGGTAAATGAGTAGCTAAATAGATAGAAAGGGAGGTAGATAGGTAGGTAGATAAACAGATGGATAAAAGGGAAGGAAGGAAGGTAGCAACCTAGGTAGGTAGATAGATAAATAGGTAGGTAAACCAATAGAATCGAATGGTAGGTAGGTAGATAAATAGATGGACAGAAAGATAGGTAGGTAGATAAATAGATAAATAAAAAGGTTGTTTGGTAAATAAATATGAAAGGTAGGTAGGTAGAAAAGTAGGTAGACAAAAAGATAGATGAGTGGATAGATAGAAAGGTAGGTAGATAAGTAGATGGATAGAAAGGTGGGTAGATAGGAAGATAAATAGAAAGGTAGAGAGACAGATAGATGGGTGGGTAGATAAATAGAAAGGTATATAGATAGGTAGGTGGGTAAATAGAAAGGCAGATAGAGAGCTAAAAAGGTAAGTAGATACACAGATAGATAGAAAGTTAGGTAGGTAGATAGACAAATAGAATGGTAGGTAGGGAGATAAATACATGGATAGAAAGGTAGGTAGATAAATAAATGGATAGAAAAATAGCTAAGTAGACAGATTTATTTATTTATTTACTGTATTTGTATACCGCCTTTCTCAGCCAATTGGTGACTCAAGGCGGTTTCCAACAAATCAGTATACATAAAACATAATAGATAAAAAACATTAAACAGTATAAGGCATCACAAAAGCAATAAAAGCAACATCATCAGCGTCTCATTATTCTCAAGCACTGTCCAATTCCATTGTCAGGTCATTCAATTTCCTGTATTAGCTACTCTGTATTTATAAACGCTTGCTCAAATAGCCATGTTTTAACTTGCCTCCGAAGCGTCAGGAGGGAGGGAGCAGATCTGATTTCCCTAGGGAGGGCATTCCATAGCCGAGGGGCCACCACTGAGAAGGCCCTGTCTCTCGTCCCCGCCAAACGTGCTTGTGACAAAGGCGGGACCGAGAGCAGGGCCTCCCCAGATGATCTTAAAGTCCTCAGTGGTTCATAAGGGGAGATACGTTCGGACAGGTAAGTTGGGCCAGAACCATTTAGGGCTTTATAGGCCAAAGCCAGCACTTTGAATTGGGCCCGGTAGCAAACTGGCAGCCAGTGGAGCTGGTGCAACAAGGGGGTTGTATGCTCCCTGAGCGCCGCTCCTGTTAACAACCTGGCTGCCGTTCGTTGGACTAGTTGAAGCTTCCGGACCATCTTCAAAGGCAACCCCACGTAGACAGTGTTGCTGTAGTCTATATGGGATGTAACTAGAGCGTGGACTACCGTGGCCAAGTCAGACTTCCCAAGGCACGGGCGCAGCTGGCGCACAAAATAAATAGAAAGGTGGGTAGGTAGATAGACAAATAGAATGGTAGGTAGATAGGTAAATACATGGATAGAAAAATAGGCAAGTAGATAAATAGATAGAAAGGTAGGCAAGTAGATAAATAGATAGAAAGGTAGGTAGGTAGATGTGTAGATAGATAGAAAAGTAGATAGATAAAAAGGTAGGTAGGTAGACAAATAGAATGGTAGGTAGACAAATAGAATGATAGGTAGGTAGATAAATACATGGATAGAAAGGTAGGTAGATAAATGGATAGAAAAATAGGTAAGTAGATAAATAGATAGAAAGGTAGGTATTTATTTATTTACTTTATTTGTATACTGCACTCTCTCAGCCCGTAGGCGACTCAGTGCGGTTTACAACCAAACCAATATACAAAGTGCACAACATTAGCAATTAAAACAATTAAAAGGTAGGTAGGTAGGTAGATGTGTACATAGATAGACAGATAAAAGGTAGGTAGGTAGATAGACAAATAGAATGGTAGGTAGAGACACAAATAGAATGATAGGTAGGTAGATAAATACATGAATAGAAAGGTAGGTAGATAAATGGATAGAAAAATAGGTAAGTAGATAAATAGATAGAAAGGTTGGTAGGTAGACAACTAGATGTGTAGATAGAAAGGTAGGTAGATAGATAGACAGAAAGGTAGGTAGGTAGACAGATAGATGTATAGATAGATGGAAAAGTAGATAGAAAGGTAGATAAATAGAATGGTAGGTAAATAAATAAATGGATAGAAAAACAGGTAAGCAGATAAATAGATAGAAAGGTAGGTAGGTAGATAGATGTGTAGATAGATAGAAAAGTAGATAGAAAGGTAGATAAATAGATAGACAGATAAATAGACAAATAGAATGGTAGGTAGATAAATAAATGGATAGAAAAACAGGTAAGTAGATAAATAGATAGAAAGGTAAGTAGGTAGATAGATGTTTACATAGATAGAAAAGTAGATAGAAAGGTAGATAAATAGATAGACAGACAGACGAATAGAATGGTAGGTAGATAAATAAATGGATAGAAAAACAGGTAAGTAGATAAATAGATAGAAAGATAGGTAGGTAGATAGATGCTTACATAGATAGAAAAGTAGATAGAAAGGTAGATAAATAGATAGACAAATAGAATGGTAGGTAGATAAATAAATGGATAGAAAAAACAGGTAAGTAGATAAATAGATAGAAAGGTAGGTAGACAGATAGATAGATATGTAGATAGATAAATAGAATGATAGGTAGATAAATAAATGGATAGAAAAACAGGTAAGTAGATAAATAGAAAGGTAGGTAGGTAGACAGATAGATGTGTACTTAGAAAAGTAGATAGAAAGGTAGATAAATAGACAAATAGAATGGTTGGTAGATAAACAGAAAGGTATATAGGTAGGTGGGTAAATAGAAAAGTAGATAGAGGGATAGAAAAAAGGTAGGTAGTTAGGCAAATAGAACAGTAGGTAGATAGAATGGTTGGTAAGGTAAAGGTTTTCCCCTGACATTAAGTCCAGTCGTGCCCGACTGGGGTGTGGTGCGCATCTCCATTTCTAAGCCGAAGAGCCGGCATTGTCCATAGACACCTCCTAGGTCATGTGGCCGGCATGACTGCATGGAGCGCTGTTATGGTTGGTAGGTAGATAAATACATGGAGAGAAATGTAGGTAGGTAGATAGGTGGGTAGATAAGCAAATAGCAAGGTAGGTAGGTAGACAAGTAGGCAGGTAGATAGACAAATAGAATGGTAGGTAGGTAGATAAATACATGAATAGAAAAATAGGTAAGTAGATAAATAGAAAGGTAGGTAGGTAGATAGGCTGAGTAGATTGAAAGGTAGATATATAAATAGACGGATAGAAAGATAGGTAGATAGATAGATAGAAAGATGGGGAGGTAGGTAAATAGACAGATAGATAGAAAGGTAGATATATAGAAATACAGGTACATATAAACGCTAACTCTAATACTTTCCCCCATTTGAGCCTAGTTTGTTCCTGACTAGGGTCCATGGCAATAGGGTCCCCAGAACTCTGGGTCCTGGCTGAACAATCTCCCTTCAAGAAGGCGTTCCATTCCCGCTGGAGCCCTTTTGGGGGTGTGGGGCCCCAAGAGAGACGCCCCCAGCTCCATGGAAACCGACCCCCCTTGTGGGCCCCTTCCTTCTCTGAAGCGTTGTGGCCCCTCTGAGGAGAAGGTGGCCCCCTCCCCGCACAACAAGATGGACACAAACAGAGCCCCCACACCTACCATCTTCCCCACCAGGCGCCTCCTCCACAACTTCGCCTCACTCGGCTCCGGCCACGCCCCTCAAAGGCGCCCATTGGGCCGACGGAGCCGGAAGCTGCCTCTCCATTGGTCGCCGCGGGCGTCGCTCTGTTGTCTCCTCCCCAGCCCTTTTTGGCGCCCGCCCTCTCGTCTCTCCGGCTCACAGAAAAGGAAGAAGCGGTGGAGAGACCCGGATGCAGTCGGGGGGCGGGACTTCCGCTGAGGCATCATGGGGAATGTAGTTTTCCCCCATTCTGGCCAGGATTCCAGCAAGAGGGAAAGTTTCCTAACGAAATCAAAGCATGTATGAATTTTTAACATAGGAAGGAAGGAAAAATTAGAAGGTAAAGTATGAAATGATGCTATATATAGAATCTATAGGTAGAATCATAGAATCAAAGAGTTGGAAGAGACCTCATGGGCCATCCAGTCCAACCCCCTGCCAAGAAGCAGGAATATTGCATTCAAAGCACCCCCAGCCTCTGTTTCAAAGCTTCCAAATAAGGAGCCTCCACCACACTCCGGAGCAGAGAGTTCCACTGCTGAACGGCTCTCACAGTCAGGAAGTTCTTCCTCATGTTCAGGCCTGCATCAATAGGAGCATAGTGTCTAGATCTAGGGAAGTAATGCTACCCCTCTATTCTGTTTTGGTTAGACCACAGCTGGAATATTGTGTCCAATTCTGGGCATCACAATTCAAGAGAGATATTGACAAGCTGGAATGTGTCCAGAGGAGGGCGACTAAAATGATCAAGGGTCTGGAGAACAAGCCCTATGAGGAGCGGCTTAAGGAGCTGGGCATGTTTAGCCTGAAGAAGAGAAGGCTGAGAGGGGATATGATAGCCATGTATAAATATGTGAGAGGAAGCCACAGGGAGGAGGGAGCAAGCTTGTTTTCTGCTTCCCTGGAGACTAGGACGCGGAACAATGGCTTCAAACTACAAGAGAGGAGATTCCATCTGAACATGAGGAAGAACTTCCTGACTGTGAGAGCCATTCAGCAGTGGAACTCTCTGCCCCGGAGTGTGTGGAGGCTCCTTCTTTGGAAGCTTTTAAACAGAGGCTGGATGGCCATCTGTCAGGGGTGATTTGAATGCAATATTCCTGCTTCTTGGCAGGGGGTTGGACTGGATGGCCCATGAGGTCTCTTCCAACTCTTTGCTTCTATGATTCTATAATCAATGGAATCTCCTTTCTTGTCGTTTGAAGCCATTGTTCCATTGCGTCCTAGTCTCCAGGGAAGCAGAAAACAAGCTTGCTCCCTCCTCCCTGTGGCTTCCTCTCACACATTTATACATAGCTATCATATCTCCTCTCAGCCTTCTCTTCTTCAGGCTAAACATGCCCAGCTCCTTAAGCCGCTCCTCATAGGGCTTGTTCTCCAGACCCTTGATCATTTTAGTCACTCTCCTCTGGACACATTCCAGCTAGATAGATAAATAGAGAGGATCGTGTCCATATAAATATGATCATATATGTGCATGTATATATGTATGTGTGTGACTTCTATATATATAAAATGCTCTGTGCATAATGAGTACCTTAAAAACAAAAGAACCAATGAACGAAATCACACCAAATTTGGCAACAAAATGTCTCACAAGGAGTGACCATCACTCAAAACATTATGCATGCCCCATCATTGGCAATTTTTAGGAGGAGCTTGAAAACGTGGTTGTTCCAGTGTGCCTTCCCAGAATAAGGAAACTCCAAGCAATAGGTCCCTAAATGCACTTTACTAGAGATCCTCCAAATACCCACCCTTTTCACCTGGTCATGCCCAGCATATTTTTAATTTTAACTATTACATTTGGCCCTGCCATAGATTTTAATGCGTCGTGGTGTTTTGTTAATGTTTATTGCTTTGTTTTGATTTCATTTTGTTGTATTGTTGTTGTTGTTTTTTACTGTTGTATTTGGGCTCGGCCTCTTGTAAGCCGCACCGAGTCCTTCGGGAGATGGTAGCGGGGTACAAATAAAGGTTTATTATTATTATTATTATTATTATTATTATTATTATTCATCTACTCACATTTGCATGTTTTCGAACTGCTAGGTTAGCAGAAGCTGGGGCTGACAGCGGAAGCTCATGCTGCTCCCCAGATTTGGATCTGCAACCTTTCAGTCAACAAGTTTAGCAGTTCAGCGGTTTAATCCACTGCACCACTGGGGGCTCATATATATATATATATATACACATACGTATAGAAAGCCATATATATATATATACACACACACACACATTTACATATAGAGGACCATTTGATGTATATATAGAGAGAAAGGATCATATGAGATATACTAGTCTTTATATCTTCTATTCACATAATAAAAGTAAAAATATGTATGTGTGTATGTGGCAAGGGTGACCATTTACACAGACAAGCTCCTGCGTCCACAAACAGCTATAGCTCCCACTACTGAGGAGACACCAAAGGCCCTCCTTCCAATGACATTGCAGGTTATAGCGAGCACCATGAACATGTCCAAGAGCCCTGCCAATGTCCTCCCCAAACACCATACTGCCCCAAACACCATACCCAAGTGAAGGCTTTCATAGGGGAACAGTTTCATTCTAGATTTTATTGTTTCCTCCACCACAGATATCCCAGTGTTTCGGACTCCCCCCATTGGTGTGGAACTTGCATGATCCCGCCACTGCCTCTTCCTTAACCCTTTCCTATTCTTTTCTGTGGCGCACAGCAAACAGTGGAATTGATCAGCAACTGAACATACTAGAGAGGTTTGGGGATAATTCACCATGAGTTGTAAGTACTGGGATATAGAGTTCACCTGCAATCTAAGAACTGCACTCTAATCTACACCAACGATGGACTTAAGCACACAGAACCCCCATGAGCAACAAAACATACTGGGTGTCTTTGGAGGGCTATTGTATTGATGGGCGTGGCCTCATGTAAGCCGCCCCAAGTCCCCTTGGGGAGATGGTGGCGGGGTATAAATAAAGTTTTATTATTTATTATTATTTATAGGAGTTGTAATTCACCTACATCCAGAGAGCCCTGTGAACCCAAACATCAATGGATCTGGACCAAACTTAGCACATAGACCTGATTCGCCAAAATTTGATTACTGGAGGGTTTGGTGGGAACTAACCATCCTTTCTGGGAGTTGTAGTTCACTAACAACCAGAAAACCTGTGACTTACACCGACGATGGACCTGGACCACACTTGGCACACAGAACCCCCATGCCCAACTCAACCTACTGGAGGGGCTCGAGGGGACTCAACATAGTGGGAGTTTACTCTACAGCCAGAGAGCACACTGAACCCCACCAATGACGCATCTAGAGCACACTTCCCCAACATAACAAACTTTAAGTACTGATGGAATTTCTGGGGATTAGCCTGGCATGATGGGAGTTGATAGCTCACCCACAACCTTATGCATCATGTACCATTAAAAACAGACTTTTTCAAATAACCCTGGCAACGCTAAGTACCCAAGCTAGTATGTGTGTGTGTGAGGGCGAGAAAAGCGGTATATAAATAAAGTAAATAAAGTCAATCAATCAATCAGCAATAGAGTGAGGGCTCCATGGGAAATAAATGTCTTCTTGAAGGGATCATATTAATCCAATATCAAGAGTTACAGTGATCCTACAACAACAGGTCCTATTCATTTCACAAACAAGATGGAAACTGGGAAAAGTATTTGAATTAGCATCAATATGTGTGTGTGTGTGTGTGTGTGTATACATATATATATATATATATATATATATATACACACACACACATATACATTGAATCAGCATACATTCATATATATACATAGATTGAAGAAATCAGTGATAGAGGGAGGGTCCCGTGGGAAATAAATGTCTTCTTGAAGGGAGGTTATTTCATCCAATATAAAATGTGATTGTGATCCTATTTATCAAAACAAACAAACAAACAAACTAGGTTGTAATTGGTAAATGCATTTGAATTAACGTTGAAATTATATATATATATATATATATATATATATATATATGAATATATAGACATATCTTTCAATCAAAAGAGGGTTAGAGTGTGCATTCTGCAGGAAAAAATTGTTGTCTGAAGAATATGACTCAAAAAAGTTTGGGATAATACCTTTTTTAATAAGCAATATTCCTTCCTCCCTCCCCAGTACACAGCAATTGAATTGTCATTTTGACCTGTACAAAAAGAGGCAGGTCTTGTCAGAAATGATTGGTGGTCAGCTGAGCAATGGAAACCTTCAGCCAAATTGGATCAACTTTGTCCAGTTTCCGGATAGCTGGCATTCAGTGGGTGAGGGACTTCCGTCCTTTCAGCATCCGCCGGAGAATCACCTCGATCCCGCTGGCAGTGCGGATCCGCTTAACCCAGCCATGCTTGTGCTTGCGCTTGATGTTGGAGGGTTGGTATTCGTTGCCCCGGGCCTTGGTGCGGATGTGCTGGTGGCTCCATGGAGTCTCAAGGGTGCTCCCAATCTCCCATGATGGGCCCAGAAGCGCACCAATCCCACGCCGGCAGACGTTGGAGACTTGGTGTATCAGAAGGAGCGATCTGTCAACAGGAAAAATGAAAGGATTGATATTACTGATAGGTCCTGAGTTACAAACATCCAACCTGCAAACAACTCCTAGCTCAAAACGGTTCTGAGACAAGAGGAAGTGAGAGAAATCTTCCCCTCGCACTCGTGGAAGAGGTATTCTCATGGGGGAAAGGGGTCTTCACTGAAACTTTATCCCCAATCCTTGTTTCCACAGCAAGCCACTTTTTCAAAATCCAATTTTCACAGGGACAAAAAATGAGGTGACATCATCTGAACAAGGCCACAGGGAGCAAAGGAAACACCACAGGGGTGTTCAACAGTCCCTATTATCTCCAAAGCCTCCCTTTCTCATTTAATGAACGAAAAAGGTTTAATACAGCAGTTCTCAACCTTGCTAATGCCACAACTCCTTAATACAGGTCCTCATATTGTGGTGACCCCCAACCATAAAATTATTTTCATTGCAATTTCATAACTGAAATTTTGCTACTGTTCTGAATCGTAATGTTAATATCTGAATTGCAGGATGTATGTTCATTCACTGAACCAAACTTGTGCACCAGTTAAGCCCATGCCTTGGGAAGTCTGACTTAGCCAGAGTGGTCCACACTCTAGTTACATCCCAAATAGTCTACTGCAATGCACTCTACGTGGGGTTGCCTCTGAAGACTGTTCGGAAGCTCCAACTAGTCCAACGCTCGGCAGCCAGGTTGCTCATGGAAGCAGGGTACAGGGAGCGCACAACTCCCCTGTTACACCAGCTCCACTGGCTGCCAATTCGCTTCCAAGCACAATTCAAAGTGCTGGTTTTAACCTACAAAATCCTACACGGCTCGGGCCCGATTTCCTGTCCGAACGTATCTTCCCCTATAAACCATCAAGGACTTTAAGATCTTCTGGAGAGGCCCTCCTCTCAGTCCCACCATCTTCGCAGGCGCATTTGGTGGGGAAGAGAGACAGGGCCTTCTCTGTGGTGGCTCCCCGGCTATGGAACTCTCCCCACTGAGATTAGGTCAGCCTCCTCTCTCCTGTCCTTTAGGAAGCAGCTAAAATCCTGGCTTTGAAGTTAGGCATTTGCAGATTGACGGATGATTTGATATAGACTAAGCGTTATTTGGCCACAACGTTTTGGACAGAGTTGGATGTTGTTTTAAACGTGTTGAATTGTTTTATATGTATTTTAGAAGTTATTTATTGTATGTTGTTTTATGACATTATTTATTGTATAGCACTGAATTTTGCTGTTAGCCGTTCTGAGTCCCTCCACGGAGATACAGAAAAACGGGATACAAAAAAAAAAAAATTCTAAATAAATAAATAAATAAAATACTTTAATTAGAATACAGATGTTGTTGTGCCCTTGGTTTTGGTTTTCAGTCTGCTGAGGTTCAATAGCTTACCATCTGTCCGATAGATGATTTCCACGCCAGTGGGAAGCTTCCCATCAACAAGATGAAGTGTCACAGCGATATTTATTTATCGTGTCAGGGGCAGACCAGACAGTTGCATTGCATTTTTTTTACAAACAAACAGACAAACAAAACACCAAGTTTGCAAGCTTGGTAGTTGATTAAATGTCCTTTGACCAGTAGCTGGCCACTTGGAGTGCCTCTGGTGTTGCTGCAAGAAGGTCCTCCATTGTGCATGTAGCAGGGCTCAGGTTGCATTGTAATAGGTGGTCTGTTGGTTTGCTCTTCTCCGCACTCGCAAGTTGTGGACTTCACTTTGTGGCCCCATTTCTTAAGGTTGGCTCTGCATCTTGTGGTGCCAGAGCGCAGTTTGTTCAGCGCCTTCCAAGTCGCCCAGTTTCTGTGTGCCCAGGGGGGAGTCTCTCATTTGGTATCAGCCATTGGTTGAGGTTCTGGGTTTGAGCCTGCCACTTTTGGACTCTCGCTTGCTGAGGTGTTCCAGCGAGTGTCTCTGTAGATCTTAGAAAACTATGTCTAGATTTAAGTCGTTGACGTGCTGGCTGATACCCAAACAGGGGATGAGCTGGAGATGTCACTGCCTTGGTCCTTTCACTATTGGCTGCTACTTCCCGGGATGTCAGGTGGTGCAATACCGGCTAAGCAGTGTAATTTCTCCAGTGGTGTAGGGCTCAGACACCCCGTGATAATGCGGCATGTCTCATTAAGAGCCACATCTACTGTTTTAGTGTGGTGAGATGTGTTCCACACTGGGCATGCATACTCAGCAGCAGAGTAGCATAGCGCAAGGGCAGATGTCCACTGTGTCTGGTTGTGATCCCCAGGTTGTGCCAGTCAGCTTTCATATGATATTATTTCTAGCACCCACTTTTTGCTTGATATTCAGGCAGTGCTTCTTGTAGGTCAGGGCATGGTCCGGAGTGACTCCCAGATATTTGGGTGTGCTGCAAGTGGGATTCCTTCCCAGGTGGTCCTCAGAGCTTGGGATGCTTGTCTGTTGTAAGAGCACCTAGAGCTTCGGAAAGCTTCTGTTCAAACATCTCAACGCTCCCTGCTTGAGCAGTAATGGCACGATCATCAGCATAGATGAAACTCTCTGTCCCTTAGGGATCAGCTGGTTTTCCCTGTAATAGGCAGTAAGAGCACCTAGAGCAGTGGCTCAACCTGTGGGTCCCCAGATGTTTTGGCCTACAACTCCCTGAAATCCCAGGCAGTTTACCAGCTGTTAGGATTTCTGGGAGTTGAAGGCCAAAACATCTGGGGACCCACAGTTTGAGAACCACTGACATAGAGCTTCAGAGAGCTTCTGTTCAACCATCTCAAAGCTCCCTGCTTGAGCGGTAATGGTGTGATCTTGGACTCGTCGCTGAGCCTGGAACCCCAGGTTTCAGCGGTGACCAGGGGAGCATTCGCACAGTTAAAACTAGTGCGCCAGCTGTGCCTGTACCTTGGGAAGTCTGACTTGGCCACGGTAATCCATGCTCTAGTCACATCCCGTTTAGACTACTGCAACGCTCTCTACGTGGGGTTGCCTCTGAAGACTGCCTCAGAGGTAGTGAGGTCTGTTGGAAGTAGGAAAATGGGTTTATAGATCTGTGGAATGACCAGGGTGAGACAAAGGACTCTTGTCTGCTGGAGCTAGGTGTGAATGTTTCAACTGACCACCTTGATTAGCATTTATTGGCTTGGAAGTGCCTGGGGGAATCTTTTTGAGAGTGATTTGATGTGCCTGATTGTTTACTCTCTGTTGTTTTGCTGTTGTAATTTTTGAGTTTTTTTTTAATACTGGTAGCCAGATTTTGTTCATTTTCATGGTTCATGGACAATTTCAACAGAAAGGAAGAACCATGAAAATGAACAAAATCTGGCTACCAGTATTAAAAACTCAAAAATCACAACAGCAAAACAACAGAGGAGAAAACAATCAGGCACATCAAAATCACTCTCAACAAAGATTCCCCCAGGCACTTCCAAGCCATTAAATGCTAATCTTAGACTACTGCAACGCTCTCTACGTGGGGTTGCCCTTGAAGATGGCCTGGAAGCTTCAACTGGTCCAGCGTGCAGCAGCCATGTTACTAACAGGAGCGGGACGCAGGGAGCATACAACGCCCTTGCTGTACCAGCTCCATTGGCTGCCGATTTGCTACCGGGCTCAATTCAAGGTGCTGGCATTGGCCTATAAAGCCCTAAACGGTTCCGGCCCAAGATACTTATCTGACCGCATCTCGGCCTATGAGCCCACGAGGACTTTGAGATCGTCTGGGGAGGCCCTGCTCTCGATCCCGCCTGCCTCACAGGCACGCCTGGCGGGGACGAGAGACAGGGCCTTCTCGGTGGTGGCTCTTCGGCTGTGGAACACCCTTCCCGTGGACATCAGACTGGCGCCCTCCCTTATGATATTCCGCAAGAAACTAAAGACGTGGCTGTTCGAGAAGGCGTTCGAACAAGAAGTGCAATAATTGGCAATGACGACAGGAATGGAACAACGGAAAACGATATTGGATTGCGGCTTAACGATGAAATGACGCGAATGACTTTTTGTATTTTTGTATTATTGATACTGAGATTGTTGATGTTGTTGATGACGATGTTTTGATATTGCTAGTTTGTTGTTAGATTCTCTCTTGTAATTTGCACCTTGTTCCCTCCATGTTGTACACCGCTGTGAGTCGCCCCTGGGCTGAGAACAGCGGTCTATAAGCACAGTAAATAAATAAATAAATAAGGTGGTCAGTTGAAACATTCACACCTAGCTCCAGCAGACAAAAGTCCTTTGTCCCACCCTGGTCTTTCCACAGATATATAAACCCATTTTCCTAATTCCAACAGACCTCACTACTTCTGAGAATGCTTGCCATAGATGCAGGCGAAACGTCAGGAGAAAATGCCTCTAGAACATGGCCATATAGCCCGGAAAAACCTACAACAACCCACTAAATGGGTATTCTAACTCTTGACCTGAAAGAGAATGTCAAATAATATAATGTATCAATGGCACTTGAGCTTACCTGCCCGCTCTGCCCCCAGCCAAGGTGGCCATGTTGGCTTTCTTCTCGCTCCTCGCTGATTGGCCGCCGGCGAGCCAATTGGGAACTACGCACGGCCGGAAGTGACGCGCATCTCGCGGCACGATCAAAGGCGAGATTGGTTTGTGCCGCGCTGTGACGTCACGGCGCCGTGCGTCAGAGGGGTGAAGAAAGGGGGCGTGGCTCTCGTGTCGCCTCACAGACGAGGACGGGGGGCGTGGCTCGGCGCGGTTGTTGCCAAGATGGCGGCGCTAGCGGAGGAGCGGGGCTACGCGCTGTCTTGTGGGCGGCTCGGGCGCGGCGTTCGCCTCTCCGTCTTCCACGTCAAGCTCACCGAGTCGGCCCTCAGGGCCTTCGAGGCCTACCAGGGCGGAGAGAGGGCCGGGAAGGTGAGGAAGGGGCTCAGAGAAGAGGGGCCTCATAGCAGGAGAGAGACTGGTTCTGTACTGTGGTAAAGAAGGGCCTTTATAGCAGTCGAGTGACTCTTCCTGTATTGTGATTAAGAGGGTCCTTATAGCAGGAGAGAGACTGGTTCTCTAAGGTGAGAAATAGGGACCTTATAACAGGAGGGAGACTGGCTCTGTGTTGCGATAAATAGGGGCCTCATAGCAGGAGAGGGACTGGTTCACTAAGGTGAGAAATAGGGCCCTCATAGCAGTACAGACACTGGTTCTGTATTGAGATTGATAAGGGCCTTATAACAGGAGAAAGACTGGTTCTGTATGGTGGTAAATAAGGCCCTCATAGCAGAAGGGAGACTGCTTCTGTGCTGTGACAAATGAGGGCCTTATAGCAGGGGAAAGACTGGTTCTGTATTGTGACAAATGAGGGCCTTATAGCAGGAGAGAGACCGGTCCTGTGTTGTGATAAATAGGGCCCTCATAGCAGGGGAAAGACTGGTCCTGTATTGTGACAAACGAGGGCCTTATAGCAGGAGAGAGACCGGTCCTGTATTGTGATAAATGAGGGCCTTATAGCAGGAGATAGACCGGTCCTGTGTTGTGATAAATAGGGCCCTCATAGCAGGGGAAAGACTGGTCCTGTATTGTGATAAATGAGGGCCTTATAACAGGAGAGAGACCCGTCCTGTATTGTGATAAATAGGGCCCTCATAGCAGGAGAGAGACTGGTTCTGTATTGTTGGAAATAGGGGCCTCATAGCAGGAGAGAGACTGGTCCTGTATTGTGATAAATAGACGCCTCATAATAGGAAAGAGTTTGGTCCTGTATTGTGGTAAATAGGGACTTCATAGCAGGAGAGAGACTGGTTCTCTATTGTGATAAATAGGGACCTTATAGCAGGAGAGAGACTGGTCCTGTATTGTGATAAATGAGAGCCTTATAGCAGGAGATAGACCGGTCCTGAATTGTGATAAATAGGGACCTTATAGCAGGAGAGAGACTGGTCCTGTATTGTGATTAATGGGGGCCTTATAGCAAGAGAGGAACTGGTCCTGAATTGTGATAAATAGGGCACTCATAGCAGGAGAAAGACTGGTTCTGTATTGTGATAAATGCCTTATAGGAGGGTAGAGACTTGTTTTGTATTGTCATTAATAGGTGCCATATAGGAGGAGAGAGTGGTTCTTTTTTGTGATAACCAAGGGCCTTATAGCAGGATAAAGACTGGTTCTTTATTGTGATGGGTTTTTTTTCATGTCAGGAGAGACTTGAGAAACTGCTCTGAGAGAACTGGCCTTCTGCAGGGACATTGCCCAGGGGTGTCTGGTTGTTTTACCAACCTGTGGGGGGCTTATCTCATGTCCTCGACTGAGAAGCTGGGGATGACAGCCAGGAGCTCATCCTGTTCCCCATATTCAAACCCTCAGGAGCTCCTTGTATTGTGATAAATAGGCGCCTTGTAGCAGGAGAGAGACTGGTTCTGTATTGTAATAAATAGGGCCTTCATAGGGTGATAGGAGCCCCCAGTAGCACAGTGGGTTAAACCCCTGTGCCGGCAGGACTGAAGACCGACAGGTCGCAGGTTCGAATCCAGGAAGAGGCGGATGAGATCCCTCTATCAACTCCAGCTCCTCATGCGGGGACATGAGAGAAGCCTCCCACAAGGATGATAAAAACATCAAATCATCCGGGCGTCCCCTGGGCAACGTCCTTGTAGACGGCCAATTCTCTTACACCAGAAGCGACTTGCAGTTTCTCAAGTCGCTCCTGACATGACAAATAATAAGAATAAGAATAATAGGGTGATGGGGATGGAATGGGATGAGAAAGGGAAGCCTTTTGAAGGCCTTAAGGGGCGAAAAAGGGAGGATCTCTGGTGTAGGGTAATAAAGAGGGGTTCTGTTGGGTGATTTGAAGAAAGAAGGCTGCTTTATCAGTGAAGGAGTAAAAGGCCCGTGAAGTTGGGTGATAAAGAGTACAAAAGGGGAGCTTTGTGGACAGGGGGCTCCGTAGGATGGAAAGACAAGACACACACACTTCATTAGATTTCATCTAGTCGAATTATTATGCTAGTCTTTGTGTTATTTATAACAATATAAGAGTGGGAAAGGGGGATGATGTATGGTGCAAATCCTGCTCTTGTAATAATACTAATATTAATATACATGCCCTTGCAACCCTGGAAGAAAATTGGAGTTTTGTTGTTGTTGGAGCAAGTTCAGCACTATACAATCCTCTTTCCTACCCTCATAGACATTATAATAAGTATTATTATTAGTATTAGTATTCCCAACACCAACTGCCCAGCTGTGGGCAAATGCCAACTTCTTGGATTTCTTGGGGCTCAGCCAAAGGCTGTCCTCTTCTCGATTTGGAACGGTGTCGAAATGTGTGGGCTCCAAAAAGCAAGCATGTTTGCGTGTACCCCGCCGGGTTCAAATGCTGAAACCTTCCAGAGCCTTTCCCTTCCTTCGATGGAGCTATTTTTAACCCAGAGGGGAGAGAGGTTTGTACCCAGGTTCACCCGGGTCCGTTCTTCGTCATGAAATTGCAGAGGAAAGGAATATATACATAATGTAGACTGCCACGGCTCATCCCAATGGTGTGAAAGTTGTGTCGTTGTTTTTTCATCAGCGTCCAGAAGAAAACGCAGCGCAGCACAGGAACCCCCCTCCCCTTCTCCCTCCAACAAAACCACATTTTATGACTTGGTTGGCCTTCCCTTCCCCGTCTGTCTTTCGCAGGCTTCCGTCCAAGAATATTGGGTAATGCTAACACTGCTTTTTCCCCAGGGCTGGGATAAAAATGGCCACTATGAGGTCTCAGAGAAGACTTTTCGCTTGGAAGGGGCTACCGCAGCGGGGATGAGGCCCAGCCCTGTATTTGCTTGCCTTTTCCTGGGACCTGTTTGCCATCCCTTGAAGCTTTGGGTTGGCCTGATAGAATTTTAACTCTAGTCACCACAATTCTTTCCCTCCTTATATGTTTGTCCTGATGTTTCCCTAAAATTAGGATTTATAGGGCTTTATGCAGGTGGGTCTGTTTTGCTTTGGGACCCATTTATTGGTGTATTTTAGTACCGCAGAATTCTCAAATGAGTTGATTCTTTATTTGTCTGGTATACGATGGCACGGGCTATCTTGATTTTGCAATTCAGCGATAATCCAAGCCAGGTTTGTCACCTCCAATATACAAAGAAAGGAATTGGAGCCGATGAGCCAAGGAACCGGGGCAGGGCTTCTCCGAAATGCTGAGGGTGGAGCAGCCTCCACCAAATGCGAAGCCTCCTTTACTCCATCCCCACCCTATACTTAAACCTTCCCGGACTGGTCTCCCTTCTGTCCGGAGCCGCCCAGGGCAAAAGACGGGCCCAGTCCGGCATCTCTTTCTGTCTTTCCTCCTTTTCTGTACCACAGGCCTTTCTCAACCCAGCCTTGTTCTGGTTGCCTGAGTTCTGGTTAACTCACTAAAAAACAACAAGAATAATAATAATAATATATACATAACAAGATAAGTACACAGCAAACAAGATCACTGTGCTGGTTTTTTGTATTTGATCTTGGACTGTGTGATGTATTGGAGAATAATGCGTGCAGATCCGAGTAGGGTGGTCTTTTGCAACTGACAGATAATTTTGTCAGCACTGATTGTTTTTAAGTGCAGGCCAAGGTCTTAAGACACTGCACCCAGTGTGCCAATCGCAACTGGGGCCGCATTTACTGGCTTGTGCCAGAGTCTTTGCAGTTCTATTGTTGTTCTTCCCAGGATTCTGTTGGGAGGAAAGTGATGCCAAACCACATTCAACGAACAGCATAGATGCACCTTATCTCTTCCCTCAACTTGGAAATTTGGCTTCTCATCCCATATTTTGGCCTTGTAGGTCCCCTCCTGCCCTAAATTCAGAATATTTATTGCCTCAGGGATGAGGAGCTTTCTTCTATCCACAAAGGAGGCCAGGGTTCGAATTCTGTATGTGACGCAGTGGCCTGGTTCTGTCTTGCGGTCATAGCTTTGCTTCCTGCCCCACCACTGAGGCACATTAGTGACCAGTGACTCAGTCACCACTGAGAAATGACCCAGCCATTTCCTCAGTTTGCAGGATCCTTTTCCTCTTTCAAGCAGCCTGAACGTAGAATGTCTGAGCATGTTTCTTTCGGTCACCTTTGACACACATCTATCCATTGCCAAGTGATATTGGCCTACATTACTGTGCTGGTGGGAAGGTTTCTGACAGCCGTGTTGTCCTGTGACTGCTACAGAATTCACAATATTAGGGATTGATGCTTTCCTTATTCAACGGACTCCAAACTTTTGGGGGTGGGGGGGGTGGGGGCTAAGAGAGTGCAGCTCTTTTGCTTTTGGCTTCGACATACATACTTTTCCCCCACAGTGTATAAAACAAACCTTCAGGCTTTGTGCTTATGATGGTCCAAAATTCAAATGAAGTCCAAAATATTTCTGGTTTGGAAATGTGTTCTTCCTTTGAGAACCTTGTTATCCCAGTTGTATTTATGTATGTGACCGTGAACATTTATTGACACTGCCAGCATATAAGTATGAGGAGCAGGTTAATCCTGCCTTCAAGTGGCATTTTGGCTGAAAACGGTGTTGCGGTGTTGCTTGGATCCCATCAGATTTTCAGATCCGCCTCTGATTTGTGTCTGAAAGGAGGAGGGTGGTTGCTAAGGGTTTCCGGATGCTGTTATGCAACTTGGGTCCCTTGGATTTTTCTTCATAGTACATTTTCAGGCACAAATACGGATCTTCGGCTCATTTGGAGCAGAGTTTGAAGCAAGCACAGAAATTTAAGGAGTTGGAAGGCACCCTGAAATTCATCTAATCCAACCCTATTTTCTAGACAGGAAGACACAATTCAAACCCTCCTGAAAGATAGCTTGTATTTAAAACCGCCGCCTTCAAAGTTAGCCCTTTTAGCCCTGAGGTCACTCTTTGCAGAACTGGACATGGGATTATTCCAAGTGAGGTCTGACCAAAATTTTCCTTTTCTCACACTGGCTTTTTGGACTGCTGTCTCACCCTTTGGTCTCAGAATTCACTTGTAATCTGATCCCATAAAGCCAGATAGCACCCCATTTTATCCTTTCTGCCTTTCCCCTTCGCTATTTGACTCGAACCTGGATCTCTCTGGCCCGTCTTTCTCCTTTGCTGAAATGAACTAAGATGGCATCCAATATGACTGTCCAGGTTTGGTCTGTTGGGGTGCCACTGTAGTTCCCATCGGCCCTGTTTGGGGTGGGTTTCCTATCTGTGTAGATCAGCCTGAGGCCCTTGAGGCTGAAGGGTTCACTGATGTTTTAGAGAGGATTGTGGATTGCCTGTAGGCTTTCCTGGGGCTCAAAATGATGGAGATGCACATCAATCTAGGCCTGAGTTCTCCGGTTTTTGGTTTCAAGTCAAGCCTTGGTTTTGGATTCAAGTATATATTCCTGTTTTTGGGGTTCCTGTTCAAGTGTTACTAAGTATACCTTTTGCTTGTGGACTTAAGCTGTTCTTGTGACTTTGGGCTATTCCTGGACTGTATTACCTTTGAATGTATAAGAGACATTTGGATTCCTGTTGGATTAGCACCTATTGCCAAACCTTTTTGAATTATACATCTACTTTCTTTATTCCTGATTATTTCCTATACTTTGTATGTGTTTCTACAATAAACTGTTGGCTTATATTCTGGACTCTTGTGCGGTGCTATGGTCATAGGTGTTCCCAGACCTGGAGTGCAACACTATTGAATTCATCCATGAAGATGTTCAGTTTTGAGAAGTCAGTAGATACCACCTGATGCTGGTCTGCCTGCAAAGGGGCAGGACTCAAGAGCTCACTTAAATGGAGTTCTTCCTAATGACTTGAGGGATCCATGCGACCAAAGCCTTGGAGGGATTGGGGTATGTTTTCTCAGCCTTCAAGCAAGGCAAGGCACACCTCTGAAGAAACATTGATAAGAAAAACACAACGGGAAAAGATATTGCCCTGTCGTTTCGTTTTGCAGGGAAAGGCAGCCGTTTTGAAACTGGGTTCATTGCCTGGAGGTTATCTCAGTGCCGAATGTACATGTTTTCCACCTCCAGCTTTGCCTCTCGGTTCCTGTGAACTTTCGGTTGTGAGAAACGTTCACAAAAGCAGAGCCGAGCCGTTGGGTGTAGGACTTTCGGAAAGCTCTGCTGCTCTCTTGGAAACTGAAACCCTGAATAATGCAGGTTGGAAGTTGGGCTGTGAAAAGGAGAAGCGCCCAAGAAAAGGGGGCTATTTCAGGAAGACTTCTTGCTCCTTCCTTGATTTAGAATGAGATTTATTAGGTTTTTCCTTATTGCTTGTTATTTTATCGCCCTCCCAGCATCTTGGCAACACAGTGGTGGGCCGTTAGTCTGTTTCTGAGGGTTTGAACACCTGTGCTACTTGTCTCGGTTGCGACTTTCATATCCGCAGATGTTCAGAGGGAAAGGCTCCGAATTGAATTGAATATGATTTCTGGGGTTACAAGGCTTTGGAAATCCCTATCCAAAGAATAAGAATTAGTTTATTTATCATATCAGAAGCGAACCGAGGGTACCATTGTAATGTATTTTTTAAGACACACACACACAAAGTTTAAAAACTTGATATTATCCTAAATGCCCTTTGATCAGTAGCTTCTGGTGTTGCTCCATTGTGCATGTGGCAGGCCTCAGGTTGCATTGTAATAGGTGGTCTGTGGTTTGCTCTTCTACGCATTCACATGTCGTAGACTCCACTTTGAGGACCCATTTCTTAAAGTTGGTTCTGCATCTCGTGGTGCCAGGCCACAATCTGTTCAGCACCTTCCAAATCGCCGAGTCTTCCGCATGCCCAAGAGGGAGTCTCTCATTCAGTATCAGCTACTAATTGAGATTATGGGTTTTAGCCTGCTACTTTTGGACTCTTGCTTGCTGGGTTGTTCCTGCGAGTATCTCTGTAGATCTTAAAAAACTATTTCTTGATTTAAGATATTGGTGTGCTGACTGATATCTGAACAAGGAATGGGCCGAAGATGGTCCTTTCATTATTGGCTGCTACTTCCCGGCGGATGTCAGATGGTGCAGTACCGACTACACAGTATAATTTCTTCAGTGGTGTAGGTCGTATACATCCTGTGATAATGCAGCATGTCTCATTAAAAGCCACACGCACTGTTTTAGAGTGATGAAATGTGTTCCACACTGGGCATGCATATTCAGCAGCAGAGTAGCAAAGCGCAAGGGCAGATGTCTTCACTGTGTCTGGTTGTGATCCCCAGGTTATGCCAGTCAGCTTTCATATGATACGCACCCACTTTTTGCTTGATATTCAAGCAGTGCTTCTTTTAGGTCAGAGCACGGGCCAAGGTAACTCCCAAATATTTTGGTGTGTTCCAGTGGGATTCTTTCCCAGGTGTTCCTCAGAGCGCAAGATACTTGTCTGTTCTTAAGATGGAAAGCACACGCCTGTGTTTTAGATGGATTAGGAATCAGATGGTTTTCCCTGTAATAGGCAGTAAGAGCACCTAGAGCAGTGGTTCTCAACCTGGGGTCCCCAGATGTTTTTGGCCTTCAACTCCCAGAAATCCTAACAGCTGGTAAACTGGCTGGGATTTCTGGGAGTTGTAGGCCAGAAACATCTGGGGACCCCAGGTTGAGAACCACTGACCTAGAACTTCATAGAGCTTCTGTTCAACCATTTCAAAGCTCCCTGCTTGGGCGGTGATGACACGATCATCAGTGATGTGAGACAAGAATCAGCCATTGTTTCAGTTTGACATCATCATTCGAGCATGGTTTAATTCCCTGCTCATTTGTGATCAATCTGCACAATAAATGTTCCTTTTATGGCCCGACTTAATGTTCCTTTTCTCCATTTTTCTCTTTAAAGGACTCTGCGGCCTCGAAGCCTTCGATTCAGTTTCAAGGAAGCCAAGGGGTAAGTGGAATGAGTTTGGGATGGGGAGATTGAGTTGAATGGAGATTTTATTTTCCCTTCCGTTTTCCAAACCAAGTAAGAATACAGAGTCAACACAGTTATTCATTTATTTATTTATTTTATTTACTGTCTTTGTATACCGCCTTTCTCAGCCAATTGGCAATTCAAGGCGGTTTCCAACAAATCAGTATACATAAAACATAATAGATAAAAAACATTAAACAGTATAAGACATCACAAAAGCAATAAAAGCAATTATGTGCCCAAAACCTGTTTTCCTCTCTCTTGATTTCAACCTGAGAGAAGATTTTAAAATGACAATAATAGTAATACGATCAAGGCTCTCAACACCTGGGCCATCCACGTCATTACATACACTGCTGGAATTGTGAACTGGACACAAGCAGAGCTGGATGGTCTGGACAGAAAAACAAGAAAGCTGATGACAGTCCACTACTCATTACACCCGCATAGTGATGTGGACAGACTTGACCTGCCCAGAAAATCAGGAGGCAGAGAGAGGGGCTTCTTCAAGTGAAACAAATGGTAGAAGAAGAGAAACATGCACTGGCAGATTATGTAAAAGGCTGTCAAGAACCAACATTGAAGGAAGTCAATAGTAGTAAACTGCTTAAAGTGCAAAAGACAAAGAGGGAATACCGTAAAAACACAATGCAGAGCCGAAGAGAAAACTGGCGAAAGAAGGCTCTCTATGGACAATTCCTGGGAAAAATTGAGAGCCAAATTGGCAAAGAAAAAACATGGCTGTGGCTCACAAATGGAACTTTGCAAAAGGAGATGGAGGGCCTGATTCTGGCAGCCCAGGACAAGCCTTTAGAACCAATGCCATCAAAGCCAAAGTTGAAAAGTTGACAATAGATCCCAAATGTAGACTCTGCAAAGAAGCAGATGAAACAATAGATCACATCCTCAGCTGCTGCAAGAAGATCACGCAGACAGACTACAAGCAGAGGCATAACACCATTGCTCAGATGATTAATTGGAACTTGTGCCACAAATACCACCTGCCTGAGAACTGGTGGGACCACAAACCAGAAAAAGTTACAGAGAATGAACACGTTAAACTACTCTGGGACTTCCGAATTCAGACAGACAGAGTTTTGGAGCACAACACTCCTGACCTCACAATTGTGTTAAAAAACAAAGTATGGGTTGTCGATGTCGCAATCCCAGGTGACAGCAGGATTGAAGAGAAACAACTGGAAAAAGCTGACACGATATGAGGATTTAAAGATCGAACTGCAAAGACTCTGGCACAAGCCAGTCAAGGTAGTCCCAGTGGTGATTGGCACACTGGGTGCAGTGCCTAAAGACCTTGGTCTGCACTTAAACACAATCGGCGCTGACAAAATTATCATTGCTAGCTGCAGAAGGCTACCTTACTGGGATCTGCATGCATCATTCGCCAATACATCACACAGTCCTAGACACTTGGGAAGTGTCTGACGCGTGACACAGAACAACAGCCAGCAGAGTGACCTTGTCTCTGTGGACTCACCTTGTTGTGTTTCAAATAATAATCATTATTATTATCATTATTATTATTATTTATATGTCCCCCTATCTCCCCATGGGGACGCACAGCAAACAGTGGCAAACATTCAATGCTCTAAAGTGCAACCAGAAAGAAAACAACCATAAATCCAGTTATGCACATTAAACAACAACATCAAGCAATAGTGAGACATTACAACAGACAGGAAAGAAGCGATTAAACCTTGTCTTTCTCCCTGTTTGTCATCTGGTTTCCTTCCCCCTTCTCCCCGCCCAAAAAGAAAATCTCAAAAACTATTTTTAACGGCTTTTATTCTCCAGAAAGTCTCTTCATCTGGTTTTGTGTCTCGGACTGACTTTCAGGGCAGGAAGAATGGCATTTTAAATGCCCCGAAAGCAGCTTGTGGTGAATCTTTTCATAAAGGAACTATGCAAAACGTCAGTTAAGGAAGGGAAGCTTTCAAGCACACTCCTACTCTTAAAAAAAAAAAAAAAAGCAAAGTGAAACGGAAACAAATGCACATCTTGTCATTGTTTAAAAACCATCCTGGATCGGCCATCCATTAACACAATTCAAAAAGGGAGGAAGAAGATGGAATATCTATATCTAGACACATAATGAAAGTGAAAATATGTGTGTGTGTGTGGCTTGGCTGCCCACTTACACAAAGAAACAGCTCTAGGTCCCACTGTGGAGACACCAATTCCATCCAATGACATTGCACGTTATAGTGAGCGCCATGAACATGTCCAAGAACCCTGCCAATGTCCCCCACCCAAGTGAAGATCTTCATTCAGAGACAAATTCATCCTAGATTTCATGTGTTTGCACCACCACAGACATCCCAGTGTTTCTGACTCTCCTCTGGTATGGAATTTACATGATCCCACCCACTTCCTCTCCCTTAACCCTTTCCTATTATTTTCTATGGCACACAGCAAACAGAGGAATTAATCAGCAACTGAACATACTAGTGAGGTTTGGGGAAAATTCATCATGATTTATAGGAGTTGTAGGTTCTTGGATGTATAGTTCACCTACAATCTAAGACCACTGTGAATTCCACCACTGATGGACCTGGAACTAACTTGGCACACAAAAATCCCTTGACCACCAAAAAATGCTGGAGGTTTTTGGAGGGATTTATAGAAGTTGTCATTCACCTACATCCAGAGTGCACTATGAACCCAAACAAGGATGGATCTGGACCAAACTTGGCATGCATATCCAATATGCACAAATTAGAATAATGGTGGGTTTTGAGGTGAATTGGGGTGGACATTTTGGAGTTGTACGTACTGAGATGTATAGTTCACCTGCAATCAATGAGCCCTCTGAACTCCACCAAAGAAGGAATTACATCAGACTTGGCACACAGAGCCCCCAAGACTAGCAAAAAATACTGGAGGTCTTTGGGGAAAATTCACCTTGATTTGTGGGAGTTGTAGTTCACCTACATCCAGAGAGCACTGTGAACCAAACACTGATGGATCTGGACCACACTTGGCACACAGTCTTGATATGCTGAAATTGGATTACTGGAGGAGGGGGGGCTGAACTTTCTTTCTGGGAGTTGTAGTTCACTCACAACGAGAGAAACTGTGACCTCCACCAATGATGGATCTGGACCACACTTGACACACAGAACCCCCATGACTAACTCAACCTACTGGAGGGGCTTGGGGGGGACTGACTCACCATAGTGGGAGTTCTAGTTCACCCTGCAGCCAAAGAACACACTGAACCCCACTGATGATGCATCTAGAGCAGACTTACCCAACATAACAAACTTTAAGTACTGATGGAGTTTTTCGGGGTTAACCTGGCATGATGGGAATTGTAGTTCACCCACCACCTTATGCATTTTGTACAATAAAAAATGACTTTTAAAAAATAACCTGGGTAACACCAGAGATCCAAGCTAGTACATTCAGTAAATGACAGTCAAAAGGCACCCATGGGTTATATTTCCCTCCAAAATGGGGCTCACTGCTGAACTGCAACTGCTGAAATGGCCTGTCTGTGTAAAACATGGGAATCGCCAAATGTGTTGGTGTCAGTTTTTCAATCAACAACTGCCCTGCTCAGGTCTTGCAAAATCAGTCATGGTTTCCTTGGTTTTGAATTTTTTAATTATTATTTCTTCTATTCTTAACCTGCTTTTCTGCCAATATAGTGACTCAAGCTGGAGTTTGATCCAATTGTAATGCAGTTCCTCTCTTTTCCTATCTCCTTCCACTTTGCCAAGCATTTTTATTCTCACCGCAGCTGGAAAAAACTCAAACTGTGGGAGAAATGGATTCATGCATGGGTTCATATGCTGCCCTGTACTGTAGATTTTCCAGACCCTTCTCATAATGATTTGTTATTTATTTATTGCCTTAGTCCTAGTCAAAGACAGCTGAGATGAGCAAGTGGGTGTCAGTTTAGGGTCATTGGCATTTTGATCAATGAGGCAAAGGTTTTAAACCCCTTCTGGGGCTAGGGTGCATTTTCCCAGAAATCTCGTATTCTTGGGGTGCCCAGTTCGAAACCAAACATTTCTCTGTTTTCATTCCTTAGCTGCTGCAATTATTTTGAGTCATGAGAGGAAGCCAAGGTCAGAGGAGTGTAGTTTCTGTTTTTAGGGGCAGGTGAAACGAAACAGCAAGGAGAACATCTGGTATATGTAATAATGACTTGGACGATGGTTTAGGGAGCCTCCTTATCAAGTTTGCAGATGACACCAAATTAGAAGGGAGTGCTAATACTGGGAGTAGTGGGTTCACATTATAGGAAAGGAGATTCCACCTGAACATTAGGAAAACCTTCCTGGCTGTAAGAACTGTTCAGCAGTGGAACTCTGCCTTGGAGTGTGGTAGAAGCCTCTTCCTTGGAAACTTTTAATAGAGGCTGGATGGCCATCTTTCAGTGGTGCTTTGATTGTGCTTTTCCTGTATGGCAGAGGTTGGACTGGGTGACCCATATGCAGAGGTGGCTCAACCATTATGCAGAGTAAGCATTTGCGGTACACTTCGTTTTGCCCAGGGGCAGTGAGGCGCCTCCGTAAATGCCCCACCATGGTTGCGAACTTTCTCTACCTCCATCTCCCTCTTGAAGGCGACATGGAGATGGGGCCTTGCTTTGGCCTGGGCCCTTGACTCCGCCACCTTCCTTCTGGCTCCGCGCATATGCGCCGTGTTCTTGAGACAGTTGGACGAGGTGGGCTCCTCTGTTTCCCGCCACTCTTGGTGCGGCGCGACACGCGAGGAGGCAAGAGTAGCTGTGCGCAAGGCACCAAAAGCCACGAGGCCGGAGAGGTGGAGCGTTTGGCAAGTTGGCCAAGGAGCACGCACGCCTCCAGCTCGAGCTGGCCAAGGAGCTCAAGGCCAGATCAGTTCTAGTCACCCGCTTAAAAGGAAAGGGCCTGAGGCTGCGAGTAATAGTGGGAGTTGGAGTCCAAATCACCCAAGGGTGGAGAGAGCAGCAGCAGCAGCACGACTCT